TCAGGTCAGCATTGTAAGTCTTTTTCATGTCATCTGTTTGGCTTATGTTGATTCTCCTATTCTTTATTTGTTTAGGCCTATGTGTGCATTTAGTTGTGCAACATTTGTACATGTTCCACATAGCCATTTGGCCATAGGAATCAAACGGTTGCTCCTAACACGTCAACTTAAGTTTCATACTGAGTGTGTGTGTGTGCTGGAGAGAAAGTACAGTGTGCATGTTTCTGTGGGGTTGGCTCAGGTTGCTGAGAGGCACAGTGTGAGGGACCTTGGATATTTAGAGGTGTGTTGCAATCCGTATCCAGTCAGAGTTTAGCAGTTGGAAACTGAAAAGCGTTCTGTGGTGTGCCTGTGCAGCACACAGCGTCATGCCCCGACCTGCAAAAACTTGCATTCCATCAAAAAATATTCTATCGTGCGCTACGTTTTTATCCGTTATCAACCGACACGATTGTGTTTGCGCACACGTTCACCAGCTGTGTGACACAATTTGGAATCCGGTCAGGCTGCCTGCTTATTTGCATAAGCCCCCAAATCAAATTTCCCTTTTGTTTGTTTGTTCTGATGTTTGTCTAGAGTAGTGCTTCAAACCTTCATGTTAGAGAAGTTAATTATTGTTTAAGATGCTTCCTCCTGCATTATATCTAACCAGATGGGCACTTTCACACTGGACTATATTTTCTCTAGTAAGTTTTTGTTTTCTTTCCTTTTTGCTTGCTTCTTAGAGCCACTTGACACCATTTCTCTCTAAATCTTTCCACTGAGAGCTCTTAGAGCAATGAAAAGCACTTCTGAGGCTCTGCCAAGAGTGCTAAGCTCTTTTTTTAGCTGCAAGGCCATGAATATTTTCATTGATGCTATTTTGGGATTGATCAGATCTTAATACAAGGTTAGAGCTGGAGATTATTCAGAGAGCATTGGTTTATATTATAATTCCGTTATTGTGTCACTGCTGTTAGTTAATCTCTGCTCAGCTGAAGACAAAGCTTAGCGTGTGGCAGGTTGTGGCATCTTAGGTTATGAGGGACCTGTTGTTGAGATGCAAGATCTCAGTGAGGAAAATGCAGAGAAGGCGAAGTTGTCATAGGAGTGAGAGAGACCTGAATAAAGAGTATCTGTTTATTCAGTTTGCCTATTTCCATCTTTACACAACATGATGCTACATGGGAGGACTGAACTGTCACATAGCTGACAGTTAGATGGTTGTCGCCTCCGGCAGCTGTATGTTGTGTCGTGGAAGCCGACTGGCACAAGGACCGACGCTTACGTTTGAGTGACACAAACCCTGCCTTGTCTTCCTGCTGCTGTGACAGCTTTAATTATGTTTCTCAGCTTACTGACACTTACCTTTGCCTACAAAGTGAATCAAAATCATTGGCCATGCTCAAAAGGTTCTCAGATTGCAACCTTTTGCTGTTGTTGTATGCCGTGAGGTGTCGCTTCACAGGTGGGCCTCCTCACTCCTCCAGCTTCTGGAGAGTTGTCTTGTCGGTTGTCCTCAATTCTCCTCCCACAGCCCACCGTGACAGGAACATAACATTTTTTAAGTTGGGTTAGTTTCTAATAAGATGCTACAGGAATAACAATCACAATAAATCAAGATGTAACTCAGTAGGCAATATAATAGCTTAATTGAATGCCCTGTTAAGCCATCTGATGTGTTCTGAAAAGGCTGAAGGGAGCCATAACTGAGAACAAGACGTTGCTATAATTGAGGCCAAGGTAAAATATGAAGGGTAGTTTAAGTTGGCATTTAGACTCAATTACAGCAACTCCTGATCTTAACAGGCATTTATATTGTTAGGTTTCCAAGGGGGCCAAACATTGTTAGCTGGTTTGAAATATAAAAACAAACTGGCTTATAAGAGAGGTTAGGCAATCTGCAATGGTCTATGGGACCCTTTTGATCATTTAGAGGGAACAGACAAGTCACTTTGCATAAAATCTCCTCATTAGAATCCATAGAAACAAAATATGTTTTCATGAGTGAGTCTGGTAAAGGCCTTTATTAGGTTGTGTCTCTACATGTAAGCAAATAACAGACTGAGAGGCTTCCTGATGAAAGTGAAAGTAATGTTGGAGAAGAAAAAAGTCTCATCACAAAGTGATGCCGTTTCCATCAAAATCCATCACTGCATCCCAGTTCCACATTACATATTCTAAAGTGACAAATCAGAATAAAATCACAGATGTCAGTGAGCATAAATACACCGAGAGTGAGTTTTCCCACCATGCAACAGAAATGAAGGAGCTAGGGTCATGTGTTTGCGGGTTGGTATGGCGTATCGTGGTTCGAGTGTGTATACCATCTTCTTAAAGACCCCGTTTTCCACGACACTGTATGGTCGTAGGTCCTTACATATGAAGACGGCCACAGACTGCGTTATCTTCTGTGCGCGGGCAGAGTTTGGCGGCGGTTTGCAAAGGAAGGATCTGTCGAGTTGCGTCTGCTTTGAATCCACAGGCTGGTTTAACACTGCTGCTACCTGCTTCGGTTGCCATGTTGTTGTTGTTGTGTGGTCGAGTGCGGCCTCCGTCCGTACAACGCAAATCACACACAGGTGTTGCTCACCGCACCCCCACTGGCCAGGGGCTTGAATCTATTCAGAGGATTTAATGAATCGATATTGAATTGGGAAAAAATATATTGCAATGCATTGATGAATCGATATTTTTACCCACCCCTACCAGCCACACACATCTTGTGTAATTACCTGTTCATAATAAAAATGACATGGAGTGGTGTGACAGCATAAAACAGCCTTGCACATTTATAAGCAATATTTCTTTAAGGAGGGAGATTTTCCACATCATTTATTTTGGTTTATATGTGTTTCATGTGAACACATCTTGTTTGTATTTATATACTTTTGAACAGAAACATTTTTATTTATTTATTGTTGCAGACAGGGAGCTTTGGAGGGAAGAATGATGAACAGTGGAGTTTGGAATGAGAGTTTGGATACAAGAGATTGAATTTACTGAACCTTTCTGTCACAATGTTGCTAATTGACATTTTCAATGAAGATATTATCTTGACATGTCGCCCCCCCTTTCTCTACCCCGTTTCCTGTCTATCCTCAGCTGTCCTATCTAATAAAGGAAAAAAGCCCCCCAGAAATAAAAAAAAAAAATGGCAAAGACCTTTAATATCATATGAATGAGAAATACTTGATTTATTGTATGATCTAAGTGCCATACATTATGGTCAGTACTTTATGGCATTTTATATATATTATAGTGTTCTAATTCAAGTACTTTATGAATATATATTGCCCAAACCCCAAAATAACCCTCTATCCATAGACCTTTGATTCAAGGAAAGAAAATTCTCCAAAAAACCCATTAATGAGACAAAAGCAGATAAAGAACATACTAAAGGACATACTGTAATACAACTCCTTCAGCGTGAATGTAACTGTAGGCTTGTGTATTGCATCTTAAGAGAGCGTGGACCCGCTTTTACTTATGATGCTAATGGAGTCCTGCTCCCTCTTCTGGAGCTGGTATTAAAGGGCCCTGGTGTGAGAGCGGGCCTGGAGGCTATCAGGAGTGTCTGAGAGCTGAGAGCTCGACTCTTGGGATTCTGAACACATCCAGCACTGACAAGGAGCACTCACTGACTCTCTCCCATACTCTCCTTTCAGAAATGTTTTTTTTCCCCCTCTACTTAATTCTCTCCCTCCTCCATATCTGCGCTTTCAGAATTCCCTTCAGAGCAGCCAGTTCCCATCTGTGCTTTACATGCCTTTCACATGTGTCAGCGTGGTTGCAGGTGTGTTTCTGAGTGCACATGCTTGTTGAGCGTGTTGTCTTGATCCACATGAGCGTTGCTGTCTTTGTGCTTCCTCCAGTACTGTGGGCCTTTCCCATGTGTTCTTTGATAATTAGAGTTGTTTTGGGGGATTAATTGTATTCCCCACAAAATTGTTTTCCTGCTGCTGGGATTTAGTGTGGGAGAACCCTGGAGTTTTTTCTGCCAAGTACAACCATTTGTTGCCACAAATGCTCCCTAGTCATAAGCACTATGTCACAGGAAACTGTACTAGTGCTTATGATTAAACCTTTCCTTATATACATTATACATAATACATAACATTACTCACCTGCCTCCCACAGTTTTATTACAGTTATATTGTATTCCTATATTTCAGTTGATGCATTATTGTATGTGCTAAACTCTAATGAGATTTTGTTCCATTACACATTCCTTCTTTTTACATATAAGAGAGTTTAAGAGCACCGTTAAAGGGAGCCCGAGAGCTTAGAATTTCATTGCAAGCAACTGCTTTCCTGTATTTGTGCAAATGGCAATAAAGAACTTGAACTTTACTTGTTAGTCTAAAGAGCTCAATTACTCCTCTGTTAGAAATTAAAGTGGCAAACTATGCTCCTCTTTTTAAACTAATTGGAGTACCAGATGGTTTGCTGGTACAAGGATACAGAATTTCAGTCTGTTTGGTTTCTTCATGAGCTTATGACTTCTAAGTTTGTACTGCTTCTTCATATTATTCCTTACTTACTATTTAGTTCATTGTTATGTGGCCTCATATACCCTATTTACATTTGATATTTACATTTGATTTTTACCTTGATACAATAACTGGAAAATGACATCTAATCACAGGCCTCTGATGGATGTCAACAAACATGCCTCCAAGGGAACCTCTACTGCTCTGTGGGATGTACTATGTTCTTTGCAGAGGAAGCATTTGTCTGGAGCTATTTGCTGGGCAATTTGAGATAGCAGGAAGAGGTGGAATTATTTGACCTTTCAACTTGTTGAGCAAATTTTTCTCTTTCAAATGTGGCCAAACTGTACAAACTACTTTCACACCTGACTGAGATCTGATCACAAGCTGGAACAATTCCAGCTGGACTCTGGCCAGTCCAGTTCGGATTGCAATGCATTCAAATATAGAAAGGTGTTGTATACTTACATGCACTTTTACTTATGTCTCTTTCTTTTTCTCTCTTCTTTCGCTTTTGTTAACTCTCAGGTGGCTCAATGGCCCGAAAAGGAAGAGGAAGAACAGCCAATGTTCGGTGAAGAGTATGACTGGTGAGTAACTCACAGTTGGTGTTATGATGGAGATAAAAAGAAGCTCTGAAGTGGGAAACAAACCTCCACCTGAATTTTTAAGTCTCTTCAAAAACACACCTCTCTCTTAGAGAATAAAAGCTCTCCAAATGCAGGAAACCAGCTATTTTGAAAATCACTTTCCCAGCATTTTGTTCAGCTCTGTTTGATACATTTTTGGATTCTTCTTTAGAAAAGGAAGATTGTAGCTGTCAGTCTCGCCGCAGTGAATACAGGCAGCTGACTGACTGCACAGAAGCTAGTGGTACATGATTCATTGCTGGCTTGTGCACATTACGCTTTCGATTTGTCACCTCCAAAGAAAAAGTACAACATCTTGGCAACTGTCATCAATAAACGAAAAGCCTTCTGCTTTGTCTTCTTTCTTGTCAGATATAGCACGATGTCTGACTGACAGCTTCAAATCCCCCGAGCCTAAAGAAAGGGAAGAGAGAGATATTGAATGAGATAGGCTGGGAGGAACACCAACATAAAAATCTGACTCTACAGGATAGTTGATTTGGCATTTGTAAAATCTAACTCCCAGGCCAGTACTTGCCACATGTTTTCCCTCCCAGCAGGCTTGTTGCCTGCCTATCTGCATCACTGCTGGAATCTTGTACCATATTCTACCTGCCATGGTCCATTTCAGATGAGCAAATATGACAATATGTCTGCCTGAGGGACATGGTTGTCTGAGATCGAATTACATACACTGTAATGATGTCAGCTTTTTCCTGTGGGAGAGTGGACCCTCAACCAGTCTTTTAGGACACTAAGGAGGATTTAATATAATAATAATAATAATAATAATAATAATAATAATAATAATAATAATAAGTTGTAGCCCTAGTCCATTTTCAGACACATTAGTACCTTGTGTGTAGAATTTAGTGGCAACTAACTGAACACCGCTGGCTTAGAATGAGAGTGTATGAGAATGAGAACGTGCTGTGAAGTGTGTAGGAGAAATTATGTTTGCCACGAAACTCAGGAAAAATGCAAGAGGCCCGATCTAGAGTCAGTGTTTGGTTTGTCCCTTTCTGGGCGACTGTAGAAACACGATAGAGTCCATTCTGTAGATAAAGCTCATTCTTAGGTAACGAAAGCACAGTTCTTATTTTCAGGTGGTCATACACTGATGAAAACATACCCATGAATATTATATTCCATTTCTGCCAATAGATCTCCTAATTGTTACGCACTGGACCTTTAACCTATTTATAGTAATAGATGAGCAAAGGGACAATAAGCACAACAGTAGTGACCACACAAGATTTCATATAACGGCTGTTGTTCCAACACCAGTGTATAGTTTCTTGTCTGCTGATGGCCTCACTGTTTACAGTCTCAAATTTCACCTCACTGTGCTGTTGTCATGTAAGGACCTCAGAGAAACAATCCTGAGACTCCTTCAGGGACCTGATTCATACCACCCTGATCCACACGCATTGATAAAACAAAATGGCAGATGTTATGTTGGGAAACTTGTGAAGACAAAATATTTATCTTGACTCGCCACACAAGAAAAACCTCCTTCCCTTTCCTGGGTTTTGTTGGTGGAGGTATTGCAGGGCCCATTATGGGAGGGGCGGGTAGCCAGAGCCAGAGAGCCGCAGCAGTATTGATTTTGGGCTTGGCTTCCAAACACAGCCACAGCAGGCTGGCTCGGGGATCCGGCTGCTGCTGCTCGCCCTGCCAATACTCTGGAGCTGACATTTTTCCTATATGATCATTCTCTAATGCCCTTGTTATCTTTCCTTTGGCTCGTTTCTCTTCTCCTTACTCTTACTCCCACTTTTCCATCGCTTCTCCTCTTACGTCCTCTTCCATTTAGTTTTTTATTATTTTATTGTTGTCTTCTGGATCCCTCTTTTTCTTTATCCCTCTCTGAAGGGTTGAGTTTCACTCTTTTACTACTTTTTATTAGAAAATGCACTTGTGCTCTTTGTCTCTCAATATTTCTTATACGTTTTCACTTGAGTGCTTTGCTTTTATCCCTCTATCTAAATTTGTATTTGGATTCCAAATGGATTTTTCTTATCAGCAAAAGAGTTTGAGCTCTTCAACAGTATATAAAAACCAATCTGGCCAAAATTCCACTCGTGTCCCTTTGGCACTCTCTCTAGTCTCTCCTTCTACTCTTCTTTTTTCTCTCCTTCCCACCATCCTCTTCTTGCCCCCCCCCACATCTGAAACAAAGCCAAAAGGCAGAGCCCAACTGACACTGCCAGTCACAGCTCTTACCACGCCTTGGTATACACACACACACACACACACACACACACACACACAAGCATACTGTATATGTCATGAGAACGTCACACACGTATGTGCAGAGTAAAAAGATCTGCCAGTGGGTGTTCAGACTTAAACATCCACATTTGTGTATTTATTTGTGACTTGCAGTGTACCATCTCCTCCCCTCCTGGTTTCTGAGCTATATATCATAAGAAATGTCTGGAAATCTGCTATTTCCTGTGTCTGTGTGCTCCCTCCTTTACTCTCACTGGTGTTGCCTGTATAGAAAAAGAACAAAGTGTCCTATTCCTGAGTTTAACGCAGACGAAAGGCTCCAGAGAGGAAGAAGAGTACAGAGAGAACACAAATACTGTAAATTTAGATCACCAACTTCTGTGTGCTTCTGCTTGCACGCTCGCTTGCCTTGAATTGCCCCTTGAGGGATGAGTATTTTGAATTGAATTGAATAAAGTTTATGTAACTTTCATACCTTATAACTGTAACAACTTCTGTTTGGTTAAAATCCACTTATAATAAAATTAAAACTGTAATGTAAAACCAGTCATAATTCAAAATATAGACTTCAGTTAAAGTTTACAAGAATAATATATTATCAACCTTTTACATTTAGTTGTAGTTTCAGTGTTAGTTGTCTATTAAAAGACATGCCAATCAATAGGAGAGTAATTAGAGAGGGTGGGTGTTGGGTGGATCACACATTCTACTTGTAAATGAATGTTACAGTAAAAGAGAGTGAGGCAGTTGCAGTGGTTGTCCTGTCTGGGACCAGAGCCATTGTGTGTGTCTGTGTGTGTGTGTGTGTGTGTGTGTGTGTGTGTGTGTGTGGTAGAATTTACTAAAGGTATCTGGAATATTCCTGAATCATCCTGTGTTGTAAAAGTTGATGAATCCATGCACCTTTAAAGATGCCCTGGGGAGGTTTCTAGTAAACAAACAAAAGCTGTTTACATTCAGTGCTTCCCACCAAAAAAGTAATTTTGTGTATCCTTGAGGATGGAGAAGTATGTTGAATGCATTTCCCTTTTTTAAATATTTAAAACCATGCATTGTTTACATCCAGGTTTGCTAGTGGTCTCCTTCTTCTTCACTGACTTTGCTGGTGCATTGCTGCATTTCTTGGCGCATTACTGCCACCAACTGTCTGCAGTGCATCATCAAAGTGCATCATGCGTCCATGTGCACCTGCAAGATAGAAACGAAATGGGGACCCATTTGTAAAGACATTGCGCTTCTACAGGATCCCTTTAACCTTATTACAAAAGTATTGATTGTGCTGCCCTGCAAGTCAGATGCTGCTGTACTGTTGCTGGACTCACTGTTGAGAACTGTTAATGTAATGTTCACAGTAACCGAAACAAGACGGGAACACCACCGGCGCTAACGTGGTGCTCCTTTCTTGCTCTCTGGGCTTTTAATTTCTTAGATGTCACATATTGTATGTTATGTGAAAAGCTTATCCTTGGCCAATAATGAAAATGCCTAGAGAGAGTCAGGAAGCTCATGATTCTAACTTCCATTGTGTTTATGGTACAGCATAAAAATAGTGGATGGCTACTGTTAAGTTTTTCCACAGTATAAGTGAATGAGCAGAAAGCAGCTGGGTTCGGTCTCCAACCTCGCTGCAGTGGTGATGAGTACAAGCAATGTGTAGGGGTGTATTGGATGGGGTGTGTCTGCTAGGTAAAGTACATATTCCGTCTGACTTTGTCTTTGCCTCTGCTTCTCTCTCAGGGTACATCCCCAGCTACCTCGAAAAGGATGAGCCATGTGTGGTGTGTGGTGACAAGGCCACAGGTTACCACTACCGCTGCATTACCTGCGAGGGCTGCAAGGTACACACACACACACACACACACACACACACACACACACACACACACACACACACAATCCCAGGTTTCAGACACACCAGATTCATAATACCTTCCATAAAACCTGATATGAGGCCTCTGAGGTCAACTGCTTCTACACACACAGCTACATATCTGACACACGCTCATGCACACACCCCCTTCTGAAACACTTACTTCAAAGTTAGCACATTGTGTTCAGCCACAGAAAGATGATGTATTGACATGTTTTTACAGAACCTGTCAGTCTGTCACGTCAGCTCTCAGTCTTGTATCATTTGTCTTCCTGGCTGTCAGCCGGTCGTATGATCAGTCTGCTTCTGTTCCTTCCCTTCATCTTTGTTCATCAATGACATGTGATATCTAAGGCACCACTGAAAGGATTGTGAATACGTTTTGTGGCCAATGATGCATTTGACGTATGATTGATCAGGCCTCCAATTAAAGACATCAGAGTCGTGCTAATTCTTGAACTTCTCAATCTATGTGCTGTCAATAATGCATGTATTTCTTCACTCAGCAAAATAATACTTTTAAGCTATTGATACAGTTGTAAAATTGAGGCTTATTTTATGTATATGAATACTTTTTTAGCTATGATTTGTTAGACTCACTCCTACGCTAATGCCTTACAGCACTTACAGTACTTGGATGTTAACATTTATAATAAATTGCCTCAGATTTGCAGAGTTATTAGAACAAGTTTTAGATTAAAGATTTAATTTGGGTATTAGTTTTATCCCACAGAAGAGGCAGCAGTGGTAGATAAAAATGTCCCTGTAACAAATGTGTTGCGGTAGACTGAACGCTTTCATTCCTTACTGTCAATCTTTTCTCTTTGTCTCCTGTCTTCAACTCTCATTCACCCTCTCGCTTTCACCTTGTCCTTTTTACCATCTCTGTATGTGCCTCTCTGTACATTCCTCTCCTTTGTCTACAAACCGACCGTCCATCCATCTCTCCCTCACTGTCTGTCTCCAGGGTTTCTTCCGTAGGACCATTCAAAAGAACCTCCACCCCTCCTACTCCTGTAAGTACGATGGCTGCTGCATCATCGACAAGATTACACGCAACCAGTGTCAGCTCTGCCGCTTCAAGAAGTGCATTGCAGTGGGCATGGCCATGGACTGTGAGTGTTACACCTACGTATTTATACACACAGACAAACTGAAAGATTGAAAGTGTAGGACAAAGAGAGCGTACATCCAGGGACCTACAGACGAAGCTGTGGTACAAAGTTTAATGTTTGAAGGTCACACTGGAGAGAAGATCTTTATGACTTTAAAATTACACATTTCATATTGTAAGTGTCAAGAAGATGTAGTGATGCAGGGGAGATAAATAATGTGTGGACTTTATATAGAAGGCTTTACATAGAATCTGCAGCTGTAGATGATTTGCAAACTTTATGCAACATGCAAACTAATTACATACCTTCTTTGTTGCTTTCTTTTGCTTGGCACTCTCTTTTTCCGCGGGTCTTTTTCCTCCTCCTCCTCCTCCTCCTCCTCCTCCTCCTCCTCCTCCTCCTCCTCCTCTACCATCTCCTCCCAGTGGTGCTGGATGACTCAAAGCGGGTGGCTAAACGGCGCCTGATCGAGGAGAACAGGGAGCGACGCAAGAAGGAGGAAATGGTCAAAACTCTCCAGAACCGTCCAGAACCCACCGGGGACGAGTGGGAGCTGATCCACCTGGTGACGGAAGCCCACCGACACACCAATGCTCAGGGCACACAGTGGAAACAGAAGCGCAAATTCCTGGTAATAACACATGGAGAAATAGGCAAAGTGATGTACTGACAGTTACCAACAATTACCCATTAAATCCAGAGTCAGTTAGTCAAAAAAGTTGAGTTGGAAAACTTTGAATGAAGTTAAGTTCTGACACACTGTTCAAGCAACTAATTCAGATTTTAATGGATAACTGCAGTTTATTGCGACCTAGGTCTTATTTTTATAGCTCATTGTTATTTTAATGAATTGCTGAGATCTGGAAATGAAGTCTGACGGCGCAAAAAATAGTGGTGAGGCGATCAGACACGTTGTAAAAAAGCTAACACTTAAGCCAGATATAAAATGTCATATCTCTCCTTGCATGGGAAAACACTCAACTATGGCAAGTACTCATGTTTACCACACATAGTTTCACCATCCATTTGGTTAACCTGGAGGTTGATTTAAAATCTGATTGTTTTACCACTTCTGTTTTTTGCCCTGTCTGACTTCTTTTATTATGGACTCCCCCAGATCTCAGTGTACACTGTTATTATACCAGACAGAAACACTGGCCAGAATGTAGAAAATAAGATCCAAGTTGTAAAAAACCGGAGTGATCCTTTGACATACAGCACTATGTAAAATGTATAAACAAAAAATACAGATCAGGAGAAAATATGTTTATGTTGCATGAGGTTTATTCTGCATGTCCCAGCAGTACAGCAGTAACAGTTTGTTCAAGCACTCAACATGGGTTGGGTTTGCACTAACATTAACCCCCGTTTTAAGTGCAAAAACACTCAACAAAGAACTGCCACGGGGGTAATTTCAAACTGTAAACTGCGCTTTAGTGTTTGTGCTTCCATCTTTCTGCTTTGAATCCCATCAGAACAGAACAACAGGACAATATGGATTATTTACTCACAAAAACATTCGTGCTAAAATAAAAAATTATAGGTTTTCATTTTATCTGGGGGAGCTGAGGCTCTTCACATGCCTGACTGTCAGCGTAGCTCTTTATGACTTTATCTCTCTGTATTCCCTGCTGTCAGTCTCTGTCTCTCTGCCTGTGTCTTTATTCCTAAATTCTCTCCAGCATTTTGGGGTTTATTCATCCTAATCCTTCTGGGTTCTTAACCAGACTTAATTCCCTTCATAGTTTTCATTCACACCTCGACTCTTTTTTTTTCGCTTTAATCTCTTTCCTGTCTTCATTTCTTTGTTTCCTCTCTCACTGTCCCTCGGTGTCTACCCTTACTTTACACACTATTTTTTCCTGTATGCTTTCTGTGAGCTCCCTCCTTATCTCAGCCAGCGCAAATCCTCAGTCATGAGCACTCATCTGCAAGTTGGCAGGGATGCTGGCAGTCAGAGTTTCTCCCTCTCAAACTGTCATCCTGCTTCACTAGAGCTCAGATTTATTCTGGACAGCCCTGGTATCAGTCTTCCCCTCTCTCAGACAAACACAGACTGATGCTGACCTCATGTTTTGGCCCAGGATTATCCAAGGTGCTGACTTCATTTTAAGTAGAGATGGATTTTTTTTTAACAGATATCTGATAATTAACTGTCTCTCATGGCTGATACCAATAAGATTTTTCACATTTTTGTATGTAGAAGTTAATAACCTGTATTTTATGCACACCTGAGGGTAAGAAAGGCTAAGTAGTGAGCAAAGATGAATGATTTCATATTCCATTTCTCTGATCTAACGAAATCTAACAACTGCTAACACAACAAAAACAGACAAAAGTTCAAATGTTCATGTATTTCTTCTAGTAAAGTTCATACTTTGGCTTTCATGGAACATAAAGCCATCAAACATTTTACACAAGAATTCAAAATTAATTATTATTTCCCATTATCTGCCGCTAATTTATTGGCTCACATATATCGTGCATCCCTGGGTTTAGGCACTCGTTAACAATTTCAGAGCAGCACTGGACCAGAGCTAATGGCCAAATCAGAGGGCTTTATTTAAAAATCAGGGACCTGTAGGTGTTTAATGTGAGAAACGTGGGGGTTCATCTGGAGAGGGGTAGAACAGCACTTGTGGTAGTGGCATGTATTGTGGAGGGAGTTGCTAAGCAACAAGTTCAGGGGAAGGGGGCCATGTGGGCATATGTAGGTGAGGAGGTGTGAAGCAGAAGTATAAGAATGTCCTTAAAGAGAAAAGATCAAATTTTAACACAGTTTGCAAATTATTTAGTTTTTTGTGTGAAGCAGGCTTATTATTATGATTATTCCACATGACTTGAGGATTAAAATTACATTGAGAAGGGAAAGGTTAGTACTAGAATTTAGGTTAAGAAATATTTTATGAACCTACAGTAAGTTGTAGAAAGTCTGTCTCTAGAGCAGGGCCTGCAATAACCAGGATTTAGAAGACTGATTAGCACAATATCCCATGCTACTGTGAAATTCAGTACGTAAGCCCTGAGCTCGGTTTATCTAAAAGGATAAACACTTCTATTTCACACTGGCTTCACCCACTAACGGGGCTCTGGAGGCTGTAGCCGCTGAACCCTGAATATACATTTACATGCTAAGCCGACCAGGATGAGCCCTTTCAGTCCTTTGGGGATGGCAGCTACAAAACGGCAGAAGTGACGCCGCTCCTCAAACGCCGTACGTTAGTTCGCAAGTGACTACTCACTCAGGGATGACTTTGTTGAATGGTCCACTGATTACAGTTAAGCTCTGTATCAGGTCAAGCTAAAAAAAAAAAACTGCTGTCTTTTGATTTAGGGAAGAAGAAGCAAGGGTCAAAGTGTTGTTTATGTTGATGAGGGGTTGCTGTATGTGTATCAGGCTTGAAAATATAGTAAAAATACTGCCAGTATTCTGCAAATTGATGTCTAAGGATATGCTCTAAGTTCTGAAAGTAAATATCTGGGGTGAGAGGATTTACATGACAGAAACATCTTCACCTGCACTTTGATCTAAATTCATCTATGGCAGAGGTTTTCAAAGTGGGAGGCAGGCTTCCCGAGGTGGGCTACATACAGTTTCAGGGAAGGCTCAGTGAATGGAAGTGAAAAAATATTACATTAGTTATTACATGAAATGTGTGTGATTCCGTTAAACAGAGATACAGTAGAAACCAACAAATGCCTTAGGACAGAGATTTTTTATGTGTTTGGTGTAGTCCAAAGTTATGTCAAACAGCAAATATAAGCCTATGTTAGCTCAATTGTTGAGTGTCATTGGCATCGAATAACATAAATTATTACATAATCATGATCTGATAGGCATCCAGGATTTGAGCGAAACCAAGCAAGTAAACTAAGAGGGCGGTAAGGGGGTTGTCTTTTTCCAAGTGTTGTGTGAAGGGAGGCCCACAGTCTCACACTTTGAAAACCCCCATATATCTTAAGTCAAATCTTTACTTGGTAGAAAACAGCAACGATTTCATTAGGCATGGATTCAACAAGACAAACATCACATCTTCAGTTTGATGGATTAGATCATTCTTATTTTTCAGGGCTAAATTCATAACACAAACATCACTCATCATAACTTGACGTAGATGTGGGCAGAGCATATGAGTCAGTTCACTGTCATGTTCTGGATGTATCCAATACAGCAACAGTTTAGGTAATAAAGAGCCCAGTGGTTTAGATTTTTCACAGCTGCTTAAACCGCAACAGCATCTCTTGCCCATTGTATTATTTGGCTGAATGCAACTAAGCCTCCAGATCTTTAAGCACACGCTGGTCTAAGTTACAGTTACACAGTGTTCTCTCTCGCACACTATGCGGTCAGGCATCTGGAAACAGCTTTTAAAAGAGGTTCAATTCATACAGCTGTGTGTATACGTGCATGTCTACACATCTGTCTAGACGTAGTCCTAATTATTTGAGAGCCATTTGTATTTAAAAAATGCAATTCTTGGTCATTAGCGTCTCTGTGATGCACCAACCCTCTCATTGACCGTATGTGACTAATATCAAAGTAATCATCAACTAAATTATAAAATGCATGGACATTTTTGTGTGTATCTGTCAGTATGGACATTAATGTGTTCTTGAATCCAGGCAAGAGGTCGTGTTGGGTCGCGTGTAGCCAAGATCAGCAATCCCATCTCAGATGCATAAAGAATTAGTATATTCAAAGTGCACATTTTGTCAGCGTGCAGGCATTTTTTTCTTTTGAGATACAACAACAATATGCATGTTCATACAAATAATCAATTATGAATGCAAAATTGTTAATTCAGTCATGTTTACTAATATGCAGGTTACTATCCATTAGTTCCTATTATCTTGCTAGTAAAGGTCAGTCCATACTTTATGCTCCAGGTCTTTTATTTAGTTTTCCAGGCCAAGCGAAGCATAAACCTTACTGGCATACTTTCAAATGACACAAATCTCATATTTCCAATAGTCTGTGAACCCATTAACTTTATCTATGGTCATTTGCTGTTGGTTTCAGGAACATTACGCAAATAGGACAGCTCAAACTGGCTGGTTTAAAATGTTCTGCTGAGCTACGTGTATGAAGGACATATGGTTTTGGTTGAACACAGACATTCAGAATTAGACGTTCAAAAACATCAGCATTTTTTCATCCACATACCTGCAGTCATAAAGTGATCTTATCACCTTGTCGTGCAGTGCAGTGTTCTGTACAATGTATTACAGCATATTATTACCAGTTGATTGATATCAATACATTGGGGGGGTGGGGGGGACCTGAGGTTCAGATGTCTATATTTCATTGATATTGAAAGTGTGTGGGGAGTTTTTGCACGAAATGTGAGTTTGGGAGTCAGATATTTTAGCGCCTTGCAAAGTGGCCATTTGGTATTAACAACTCCATCAATCCCTGTGATATCACTTTACAGTATATAAAGTTAAATGTTATGGGACAGTAAGAATCTTACTTTTCTAACATCATGAATTATCTATGAGGCAGTTTCTCAACTGCTTAACAATATTTCCTGCTAAAAACGCATAATACAGTTTATAGTTTAAAAATGTGTCTTTAACTCACAGTATGTCATTCCGGCCTCTAGGGGTCTCTCACGTCAAAACAACAACAAAAGACGTGAAGTAGCGCGGGATCGTGGAAGTTGTAGTCTTCATTGTTAAACAACCACCTCTGCTGATGAACATGACTCAGGCAGAACTAATGTTCACAGACGAGGTTATGTATTGAAATGTTATTCACGTCACGTTTAGTCATGTTCGCCAACTTCCTTCTTCACTTTCTGACGTATCTCGTGTTTCCACGGAAGTTATAGCAACTAGACAACAAGGTAAAAGGGGATATGCCGCCACTGACTGGCAACCAAATGAAAAGTTTCATTACTTTGAATAGAATTATGTATTTCTTTGGGTTTGAACATTGTTGAAAACAACACAACTCTACAAAATATTGAACATAAGTCAGACATTTTTAGACATTTTAATGCGAAAATGTTACATATTAAAGCTTTAATCACATAAAGCATGAACCAAGTGTACAGTTCATAGCACAGTGGTGAAACCATCCATCAGCCAGATTAAAACATATTGGACTTCATTTCTCTTCTCCAGCTCTACTGGAACAAACTTTCCAGCAATAATCCATCTAATAAAAGGTCAAGAGTTGAAGCTCAACACATAACTGATGAGACTGCAGTAAAAAAGTTTCCCCCCCTGTTCTCCCCTCGGTTTAGCCATTGCCAATTCCCAGTGTGTACCGGGATTCATGTCAATGTCGAAATATCTTGTGCCTCTTTTGGGACACATCACAAGCATTTTCTTTTCTTTTTTTCTCCCTATACATTACAGAAAAGAGTTTCTTATGAGAGCTGGCTCCACATTGAGCTTAGCTTCGTGCTATCTCACAATATTTAGTCTTCCTGACCAACCAGCCTGTGCAGCAGCAAAGACATAATTCCTCTCCAGCTCTGCGGGTATACTGCCGCCAAATGTTTCCCCTCAGTGTCACCCAGATGGCCATGCAGTTAATAAACAAACATTAACATTTGCAGGAACATCACATTGTTCTATATGAAAGCGCATATGAAGCCCCCACAGGCCTGAGATGTGGAAAACATTCACAAGCACAAATATATTCCCAGTATGGCGGCTCCAGTGCCACTGCCACGGCTTGTGTGTGTGTTTGTGTTGTTGTGTGTGTGTGTGTGTGTGTGTGTGTGTTGTCTTTCATTGTTGCTGGTTCCTTGTTGGGTGGAGCTAGAGGCCATTAAGGAATTGGAGACAGCTGGCCACTGTCTCCAGGTTACATAAGACCCAGCCCATCATGGTAGTCTGGAGGCTTCCTCTCCTCTGGCACCTCGTTATGTTATGATGGGGTTTTGATTTCCTGTATAGTTTATGTAGCATTATCTTGCTTTGTCTGGCAGCATGTTTCCCCTTCAGTCTCATTTGTTAGAATGGACATTTTTGTTACATTTGTTAAATTAATTTAAATACTTTTCTTTAAATGAATCCCTCACATGTGCTTCAAGCAACTGTATCAGAAGTATCAGAGCTCCAGCAACGCTTGAGATTAAAATTCTTATGAAATTACGTACAAAGTTGAAGGAAAGAAAACATTTTTTTTTATCAATGGTAGTAAAGTTAGTTGCAGCCCTAGCAGAACATTCGGTTAGCACAATCTTTGGCCAGGCTTGGAGATATCAGTCTCTGAGATTCCTGCTGCTGGTTTGTGCATTGAAAAATGACATTTAAAAATAAATTCAACAGCAACATCTGTTTCCAGAATCTATGCCCCCATTAATCTGGGTAATCCAGAGACTTCACTGTAAACTGCTTTTTAATGACTACATTCTACTGAAGAAATGGTCCCTATGAAACATGTGTGGACAATGAGTGCTGTGGATTATTGAGAGATTCTGGAAAGACATAATGCTGTTGCATTTTTTTTTAAACGCCATTTTTCAGTTCTGTCAGCACCTCTGTTGTATTGGGATCGATGCAGAAATCTTGAATATCTTAAAAACCTGTACAAATAAAACCAAAACATCTTCATGGCCCGATGCCACTGGAGGTAAGGGAGAAAATATGTTTCTCCAAAACTGTTTAAAAGCAACGCTGTTAACAGGTTTGAGTTAAACGCCATATTTATTTCATCTCAACTGTAACTCGTGACACGCAGCTGAACCTGCGCTGGCTTTGTCTTGTGGTTTGTTTCCAAGCTTCTCCACTTGACAGTGTGGCATGCATTCAGCAGTTCTGAACCTCAGCTGCTCTCTCTGTATCTCTCCGGAGAGCTATTTACTCAACACTGAAATGAAAAATGCCGCTGACCTCCACCAGAGAAACCAATGCTTTGTTTTGGCTCTCTAATGACAAGAGATTCAGTCCATCAACGTTATTATTATGATTATTTAAATTTTCCATAATTGCTCAGCTCTCGGTTTCACAGCAGAGGATTGGCTAGGTTCGCAACTGACTTACGCAATCCATCTCTCTCTGGATTATGATTGATGGTACCTTGTGCAAGGTGATTATTTCTATACTTTTATCTCATCCCATTTACTATTGAAGCCCAGCCTGAATAAATGACTTCGGTCTTGACACATGCTTTATTCAGTGGAGCGTGAGACAATATTTCTCATAGTCACAGCCTCGATTCGCCAACTCTGTAAACATATGTATTACTGATCTGCAGTTCCCCACTGCAGTCCTCCTCTAAGTAAGCATTATCTGTCTGGTGACATGTCCCATTCCTTTCCCAGAGCACAATCTGCCATCCTCATCTGATGAATTGGTTTTAATTTGTCTCCTAAGGCAAGTGAGTGGAAGTTAGAGAGGAATAAAAAGGCAATAAAACCGACACACAAATGTTGCATCCGGTCTTAATTAGTTAAAACTGTGTTGCTTCTGTTAAATTTTACTCTAATCCCTTACACCATTCTTATCCATTCTTCTTAAATCTTATTTTATTCTTTTGTGATCTTCAATTCTAAGAACACACCAATACTTTCAACTTTAACTTTTTCTAATATACTCTTTCGTCATCACATCATAATGCTCTACACTTTGTTCTCCTCAGCTCAATCATGCTCTCCTCTCCTGCTCTATCATGATATATGCACTTGGATTTAAACATTAAGTCTTTAAAAACAAATCTAGTTCTAGTTTCATTTGTAAAAAGGCCTCAGTAATCACCTCAAAGAAAGCTGGGCACTCTAGTTTTTCACAGACGTTACTCAAACAGGGGTAAATAGTGCATTAGTTGGGGAATTTCTGTGGATTGATACACATTTGGTGCTCTAGTGAGTATTTACAGCAGCAGGATGTGTGTATGTGGGGTTGACTCAAAATATACTACAGTGCCCTTATTCACTCTGATGAAAGAACATGTCAACCATTGCAACAGTGTGCCTCATTAATGCATTTTTTTAACTGTTTAACAGTGGAGCTCTATAACACACAGGAATAAGATATATCAGGCTTGGGCTACAGAGACAATATTTATTACGAGGATCAGTTCATTTTCGGTTTCTTGGGACATGCTGACAAAAATAAAAATGTTATACCCTTAACCTACTCCTCTATTCAAAGAGGCTCGTTTGCTGAAGTCTAATGTCACGTTCGACTGCGCTCTAATCAGACACCTATGCTTATCTTCCCATGTAGCCAGACAAAATCGGCCAATCCCCGGTTGCGCCCACGTCAGACGGAGACAAGGTGGACCTGGAGGCCTTCAGCGAGTTCACCAAGATCATCACTCCTGCCATCACCCGTGTCGTCGACTTTGCCAAAAAACTGCCCATGTTCTCTGAGGTGAGTGGTGGTTAATGGTCTTGAGGATCAGAGGGTGAGTGTGGGAGTCTGGACAGATAAAAAGAACTGTAACACACAGCAGACACAGCCAAGCTTCTGTCATCCTGTGAGTGTGCGTTCGTTGAGGAAATGTGTGATTTAGGAGGTGAATTTGTCTAACAGAATTAGCAGTTCCCCTACTAGAGGAGGACCACAACGGCATGCGGAACAAGAGTTATGACCAGTCTTACAACTTAACAGTAGACTGTGGAAAATTTCTAAATCTTCCCGTTGTTTAATAGAAAAATACAAGGCTGCAGATTAATATGCTGATCACTTACACTTTGCCGTAGCGCTCACAATGCGTGTCTGGCTTGGAAATTAAACCCCAAAGCAGCTTTTGTTGCTGGTGACAATCAGAGTTGCACTTCTGCTCCAGTCGGCCCCGCCTTAATTAGCAACATGTAATCATGTTTCTTGTCTCAGTAATGAGAGCTTGTGTGATTGGATAATTATCAGGGTAGCAGAGTTACTGTCTAGAGGGACAGATGCAGTGTGTGTGTGTGTGTGTGTGTGTGTGTGTGTGTGTGTGTGTGTGTGTGTGTGTGTGTGTGTTAGAAAAAAGGAATAGCTGTGTAAGTGGGAGTCTGTAATGAATTACAGGAGAGGAAAAGTTGTAACTGTAATCCATTACCGTTTTGGAAACATAAATCAGAGATACTTTTTTAATTAGCATATTTTAAAGTAAGATTATTCTTTCATTATACAATCTTTACTATTGTGATGAATACTACTATTCAAATGAGTGCGTAAACTAGAATAAATTCCTCAAACTGCTGCTGGATATTCTATTAATTTTAGAGATGAAGAAACTAAACAGTAGCAGATAAGGACACAGCCTTTTAGTATTCCAGACACTGACGCAGATAATCAGTCATGTTTAATATGTTATCTTTTAGTCACAGTGTAATAGATTATATTGTGAAATAAGCCTTTTTTAATCTGATAAAAGAAATGGAGAGAGAGAACCTGTTTAGCCCACATGAGGTCTGTTCACTGCAGTGAATTACTGATAAGAATACACAGAAACAAAGCCAGCACTCACCAAGCCACTAAAAATTAAGCATGCCCCCAGGTACAAATTTACAAGAGAAATCAAGCCAATGAATGCCAATTAATCTACTCAGCAGTCAGGAGCGAAATAAGAAACAAGCTTACATTAAGGTGAGATTTAATTCAGCACATCAGAGTCTGTAGATTTAATCAAATGGGTTTCAACCCAGAGATTCTAATATCCATGTAAATCAGGGTGTATTAGTCATAATCTGCGTGCATCAGTGAAAAAACATGTCTTCTCTCTCGCTCTTTTAAACCCGTCATCATGTTTCTCTCCCTGCCATCGCTTCCTCTGCACCCCTTTTATTCCTTCCTAACTTTTCTTCTGATCCTCTGAGATGTGAGAATATAGCAACACAACTAAAACAGAAGTACAATGTTCCAATAAACATGAGTGGGCCGATGAGCAGACTGGTTGCAAGAGCTGCTTTTGAATCTGAATTAGTTCCAAATATGTAAGACAGATCAGTTCCTGAGTTTTGGTTCTGCTCTTCTTCCATGAGCATGCATCGATGCATATGTATAATGTTTAGAATATGGGGAACTGGGGCGAGCGATCACAAGTGTCAAATGGCCCCTAGTCATCATACTTCAGTATCTGCTGATGCTAGACATCCATGTCAAGTAAAGTCATATTTACCAATATATACTTAATTATCTTTTAGAAATGACTGTTAAAAGAAGCCAAAATCAGCTGAAAATAAAAGCTTTCAACTTATTTTGGTGTCTGTATATACCTGATTATGCTCTGATAAATGTTTTAAATTGTTTCATCCTCAATATCTCTAAAATGGTAACTTTTATGATTAGATAAATGTGAAGTTTGGTGAAATTATCTTCCATAATTTCCTCCTACCTCTTTGTAAAGATCATTCTCTGGTCTTTACAGCCTTGATATGTTGAATTATATGCAATATGCTAATTATTTTGAGATAAGAATAACCTTGCATTAAATATTAAAAATCCTTTTTTCACTAGTTACCTTGTGAAGACCAGATCATCCTGTTGAAGGGCTGCTGCATGGAGATCATGTCACTGCGAGCCGCAATGCGCTACGACCCAGAGAGTGAGACACTGACGCTGAGTGGGGAGATGGCTGTGAAGCGTGAGCAGCTGAAGAACGGCGGGTTGGGCGTGGTGTCGGACGCCATCTTTCGATCTGGGCAAGAACCTGGCACAGTTCAACCTGGATGACACAGAGGTGGCGCTGTTGCAGGCCGTGCTGCTCATGAGCTCAGGTTGTTGTTGACTTTCAACTTCGTTTGTAAAGCTTCAAGCTGCATGCCAGTGCTTTTGCTCTGTGTTGCTCATAACATTGGTGGTCTAGCAGTTTGAGCTTAATGTAATGTAAATGTGAATGTTCAGTCCTCTGTGCCCTTAGAGACACAATTCCACCACAGTCCATATTCCTAGTCATTAGCCGCTGCTTTACACTGCATATAGTGTAGCCTATTGTGAATCAAAATGTAATTATGGCCTGAAGATAAAAGTCCACATACATATTCAGTGTTGAAAGGGGGATCTAAAACTCATCCTTAATGTGATTAAAAAGCCTTCACTCTTGGTTTGTTCATTGTAGAAACTCTCACACGTTCAGTTTTAGGACACATATCACATAATATGATCAACGTCAAGATGATGGATGTAAATAAATGGAGGATGTGCAATGTAATCATTCTCAGGGTATCCACAGATTTTCTCATTATGTATGAAAAAAGATTTGTTCGTGCCAATAATTTAATATTATTCTTTTAGTTGAGTTTTTCTTTTTATCTTAAAGCCCGGTCACATCTGTGAAATTTGGCAGAGAAATCTGTTCATTTGTTGAAATTGCTGTGATCACAGGATTCGCTCTCAAATCCAATCGATTTTTTTGTGCCTGCTTTGGTGAACATTCACTTCATTAACCAAAACCAAAACCTAATTATCTTAGCAGTGCTGAGGAAGTTATTGTAGCTTATTACCGGTGTTGCACCATTCACTTTCATTTAACTACTTATAAGCTGCTCCACAAAAGGGTGTGCGGACAGCAAGCTTGCTATTTCTGGGAGCTTTTTTCCTCTTTAGCAATAATTTATTGAACGAATGAAATAAAATGCCTACAGCTGACCATGTTCCCGGCTGGCTTTTGTGTTAGCATTTAGCTCGCCAGATACAGTATTTATCCAGCTAGCCCTGCGAGTACTCACTACGTCACCAAACTTCTAAAACCACATATATCTTGAAGATGTGCCATTCATTTCGTTGTGCTACTTTCTGGTGTGACTAGGCCTTTGTTACATCTCAGATCTACTATGTATGTTGTCATTGTGAACAATAATTCAGTTACCACTCAGAAATGTAGTATATTTCCCCTCACAGCTGTCAAATACTTATATCCGTTAAATCCTCCAGTTTTATCTCTATATTCAATGATTTATAACATTTGTTAAATTTGTTAATTAGAAATGATGAAAGCAAAATAGATTTGATAATGGGTTCAGACATGATAAGTGAATTTGAAGCTGCATCCTAGTGATGACAGTACAATTATATTAACTGTCCATAATAACACATGAAAGTGTTCACTGAGCTGACTGACGGTCACAGTTTCCTGCCACAATGTTTATTGTTGTTTATTCACTAATTTTTTCATCTTCCTTCCTTTCTTCCTCCCTCTCTTCTTCTTCTACCTTTCCTTCTGTCCTTTACTCATTCTCCATATATTTTTCCTCCCCCTCTTTTCTAAATGTGCCCGCTTACCTTTTCCCGTCTTTTCCCCCCCTTCCACTCTTCCTGTCACCAGACCGTTCTGGCCTGACCTCCATGGACAAGATCGAGAAGTGCCAGGAGACCTACCTGCTGGCGTTTGAGCACTACATCAACTACCGCAAGCACAACATTCCCCACTTCTGGCCGAAGCTCCTCATGAAGGTGACAGACCTGCGGATGATCGGGGCTTGCCACGCCAGCCGCTTCCTTCACATGAAGGTGGAGTGTCCCAACGAACTCTTCCCCCCGCTCTTCCTGGAGGTCTTCGAGGACCAGGAAGTGTGAAATACATTTGCCACCACGCAAAGGGATGAGGAAGTTGGGGCAAACCGGGAGATGGGAAGGGCCATCATTCTTATAGGGGAAGGATGGAGGGAGAGTCCTCTTGTCAGGAATCTGCATTTCTCCGACATCACATTTACAGTATGTGGTTTAAAAACTGGAACCAACAATAACAGAAACAACACACCAGCAACAGGAGAGTCACGCAAACTGAGGATTTTGTTTTTTAAACACCCTCTCCTCCACCTTTTTCTCCTCCTTTTCCTTACCCCTGTTTTAAAATCCGTGTGGGGGCCCTTCTGTCTGAGCATGATGTCTTATCTAGTAAGAGTTGTAGCCATTTGCCAAGACACATACACAGATACACACAACACACAACACACACACCGACACAGCCACAGCCTGTTCCACCTCAGTTCCTCAGAGCAGCGCTCTTTGCAGGGGTCCGTTCCCCCTCTCTGGTTCTTTTTAGCGGTCACAGATCTACACGTTTTGAAGCCCATGCTTCCAGCTTTCATGCTGGCCAGCACCTCTCAGTATTATTTTTGAATAACTGTTAAGGCAGTAATTTAGAAAATATGGACATTAGTGACATATTATTGCTCACATTCATGCAAACACACAATCAGCGAACACTGCACAGTGAAATTCAGCAGATGCTTTAAGCATTACTCTGGTATATAATAGCTGTAGTAAAGCAGAGATACCAGACCTAGCTCATTATCAATTCCTCAACTCAATCTGAGCCGTTACAGCATTTTTTGGAGCTTCTTCTTCTTAGATCCCAGTGAAACCGGTGCTATATTTATATAAGGCTACTCCAGTTTTATGAAATTGTGTTGTCTACCTTTGAAAAATGTGCAGACCATGGCTCCATATCTACCTTCATTTGTGTCATTGGACCGGCTCCTGTGACATACACACACACGCACACAGACACACATATGAGCAGATTTGCCTAGTCATTGCCCGTACTGCTTGTGCCAGCAGCTACCGTCTTATGAATGACAATTAAGCCCTTCTCTCTGAGGAGTTACTGCATTGAAGGAAAGAATGAAAGAAAGGAGGAGAGGAGGAAGAGAGTTACTTAGAAGCGAAGAGAAGGGAGGAGCGAGGAGAGAGAGAGAGGAAGCAAGATTTAATAGGTGGACTGTAGATTCAGAGCCAGGGGTCAGAAGTAAATCTCCCACAGGCAGCCTCTGAGGAGGTTTTGAATAGCAGCAACCACCAGCAAGACAGCAAAGCTCATCTTAGACACACACACACACACACACACACACACTTTCTCTCTCTCTCTCCCTCCCTCCCTCCCTCCCTCCCTCCCTCTCTCTCTCTCGCTCTCTCTCTCTCTCTCAGCCTCTCTCTATCTCTCTCTCCCTTACACACACACACACACACACACAAACATGAAAACACACATCACCTCAAAGTAACGTGAATGCCTCATTTTACTGTATGCACTGTGCGGCAGTGTTGATATACAGCCCTAACCTGCAGGGTTTGTACAGAGTCCTCTCCTCACGGACTCAGCTCAGTGTGGCCCCTCCAGGCTTCCATACACATTTGCCTTTTTTTTACCATGGGCGTCACTGAGAGCAGGCAAATGCCAAGAAGGCTACCATTTACCTCAAAGTGGACACACCCCCAGGCTGGGGCAGCAATACTGCCCCTGTGGTGTCAGGCACTACCTCACCTCTGTGGACACAGGGCAGCTGCCCACAGCCTACACACAGACATACACCATTCAAGTTGGCGCATGTGTAGATTAACACACAAGTGTGCATACTTTTTTGTAGGTGCACACTTGGATAGACAAAACACTCACAGCACACACACACACACTCTCAGTGCTATCACTTGGTTGAAATGAAATACCACTGAAGACAGGAGGGCCAGCCATCCCCCTGGAAGGTCGTACCGACTCCAGGGAATGGTACCCATTACATTCGGGTTATCTCTTTTTGTTATATGGGACCAAGTGTCATCTTTTGAGATTTGGATTTACCTTCTTTCTGTCAAAACAGAAATCGACTCACTGAAGTGACGAAGGACTGTGTGGATGTGCAGCACAGCTGACACCCATCTACGAAAGTAGCAAGAGGATAGATAACGGAGAGTAACTGAAAACCCGTGGTGGCCACATCCATTGAATTAGCATGCACAGAAAGGGCATCTTCTTTCTGCATCATGGCAATCTTCCACAGTACACTTATGATGCCTGCCATTGGATCTTGATCATAGAAATAAGCTTTTGTGTCATGCATGGACAGTGCATTAGACGTAAAGAGGTGGAATGTTCTCAAACAAAATAAAGAGGCAACTCAAAAGCTATTTTAGTGTCCTGCACTTTACCAATGCTCACCACTATAACAGTAATATCTCACTGCAGATGTCCATGGCAGATATCATAGCGTACTAGCCAAATGACCATTCAAGAATGTTGATTTGATTATAAAAGCCCACTCTGTTCATTCCAATTCTGGGGCCGAGCCAAGTTTAACTGGGTTTACCACTCTTACAGGAAGAGAATGGAAGAGAGACTAAGAAAATCTGTTTTATATTCGGAGCCAACCAGTAGTTCATACTGGGCACTTGTACAGGATGGGTAATCTGCACCCCTCAGAAGTACCTAAGCAAAGTAACTTGTGGCAGGAATCATGGGTAATCGTCACAGATGGTCATGCCTCACTTCTTCAATGTCTGGAGCAATGCTAGGAAGAGGGAGAACAGAGGACCTGGAATGCCACCTTTGGGCACAATGGGGGAGTCTGGTCCCAGAAGAACCCCCTCCACAGGCATCATTACCACTTTCTGAGAAACATCACCTACTCTGCCCTGTCCTTCTCTAGCCCCTGACAGTTCCCCCTTTAGGAGCCTAGGTCTGACAGACCATTATATTAGCCCCCACCCAGCCAGGCTGGTGTTGGAGTGGAGTTTTTGCACTACTGCAGCAGTCCTCACTTCGGTCCACTACTCATCAAAGTTTAATCTACACCTGTTGTTGGATTACCAATTAGTTTCCCTTCTGCTCTGTGTAAAACAGGTCAGTTTTGGAGTTTTGGCTGCTCTGTGTAACAGAGGCTGGCAGTCGCAGTGGGCTCAGTCCCAAACCTGTCCCGTTGTCAGTATTAGACCAACAGCACATGACCCTCAGCCCTCAATCGACCCAACCAGGGGTGGAGAGAGATACCTGCAAAGGAGGGGCTGTGTAGCACTTACTCATTCTCCCTGTAGTACAAATTTTCCATCATCCTTCCTATTGCAGTGTCAGCCCAGTGACGTTTCAAATTCAGAGCCCTCCTTCAAACAGCCTCCCTTCCATCATCATCCTCTCTCCCCCTCTCCTCTTCCCTAGGAACACTACCTATCGTTCCCACTCACTGTGGAGTAAGATTCCCCCAGTTTGGCCCAGAATCAATGACAAATCAAATGGGATCCAGGCCTCTGCCTTGTGAGACAAGGCTGGCCATAACTGCCCTTTAGAGTGGCGTCACCGGATGAATGTGAACTGCAGAGCATCAGCGATGGGAACGAGAGACTTGAACGCGAGAATGTGAAGATGTGAGAGAAGAAGAAAGCATGGGACAGGAAACAAAAAGCTGAGGGCCTCAACCCTCACTGCCATCATTGACATGGGTGAGAGAGGGTGATATGGCCGGTTGTACAGACAGATGTTAACAAACACTCGGAGGAAGGGGAGATGGCGATGTAGGAATATGTACGGTCTCCCCTTCAGTCCCCAACTAAAACAACCCCATATGAGTCCCCACTCCCATGCCAGCTGACAACCCCAAATGTCTCCCTTCAGCTCCCTCCAAAAGGATAACCTCCAACTTTCATATGGTGAGGATCGGAAAGGGATCCCACATTCCAGAGATGCAGGTTTGGAATTCCAACACATCTTTGTAAAAGAACTGAAAAAGAGAAAAAAAAAACCTATTGATGTCCTTTGTTCTCGTGAGCTGACTGGGTATGTGTGTGTGACAGAAGGGGTTATAATGCTGCTTTACCTTCTGAGTCTGATTTAGATTAAGAAAAAAAAGATATATGAAATGATTATAAATCCATAAAACAAAAATGAAAAGAGATGACTTTTTAAAAAAAAGACTCCTGAACAAAATGATTGGAGATTTTTTTCATTTTATCATTGTTTTCTTATTTTTCTGTTTGTTTTTTGACGCTTAAACTGCTCTGTGTAAAAATGGAAAAAAAACAAACAGCTGTAGTCACTTTTTGACCATGCGTGCAGTGTAACATAGAAAATATTTCACTTCTTTTTCACATCTATAGTTTGTGTTGATAAGCCAACTGATCTGTTTGTCTGTGTGTCTGTCCAGCTGTCCGTCCCCTTTTATCAGGAGGAATTTACAACCAACAAAACAGGAATTTCTTTTTTATATTTTGTTTCTTTTTTATGAAATACAACTTTGGAGAAAAAAAAATACCTAAACAGGAAAAATAATGCAACATAAACTGAAAATACAAAAAAAAAAAAAAAACTGAAACAATCTTGTCATACCTCACACAACACAAAACTCAAAGGAACTTGGGAGGAGTCATATTTTGCAGGCACATGTGAAAGTTCAGATGCATATATAGATTAAAAAAAAATGTATATGTTAAGATAATATGTGCTTGTGTGTACGCATCAGTAGAAGTTACAAAAGGACTCTTCCCTCAAGCTTTTGTGCTCTCTATCTTATTGATTTGGTTATCGGGTGACGGGAGATGCAACACAAACGTGAGAAAATGTTGTGAGACGTTAGAGATCATCTGCTAATGTGAGCACTTCTCCAACTTAAAGGCACAGTCTATAGACAGTAAACTCAAAATGTGAATGGCCCAGAGACTGAGGGATTATGACTTTTGTAATGGCTGAGTGTTTTATGGTATTGAATGTAGCTGACAGGAGGGGGCTGGACCTGAGCCCGGCACCCACAACCTAACTTCCACACACCAGCAGAAAGGATAGTGGTGTCACATAGACGTTACAAACAACCAACAAAACTGAGAATATATTGCCCATCTGCAAGGTGCAATACTATGTTATGTATTATTGTATGTTTTTCTGTTTTGATTTTATTTTTATTTCATTTACATTTTATTTTGGCCATAACCAAGGATGTAAATACAAAAACGTACAACACTCAAGATTTATTGCAACAAAGTTAACCGCTCCATCCCACTGTCATGTAAGAGAAAAAAAAAAAACAAATTAATGTGTAATTACATTTGTATGTGTGCACTCTCTCTCACATGTGCATGCTGATCCATATTCAGAAGTGCCCCGTGACATTAATCATAAACCCTGTGCCTCTTCTTGTTTGCAAAGAGATAGATTCGTACACCTCCATATTCTCACAACATCATGAGATGCCACACATGAATGCCTATAGTGTGTGTGTCCATCTATGGAATCATACTCAGTTATTCCAAACTGTTGACGTGAGTGTTGCCAGCAGCCACATTGGCTAAAGGTCAGGAGGGCTGTGAGCCTGTTTGGTTGGATAAAGTGGGAGGTGGGAGTGGGAGATGTAAATAGAACGTAAGCGAGTTATTATTTGGCATGAATGTCAGCTAACTTGGCTGCAACACACCCACGTCATAGTTGGAAAAGTCCATAATGGATTTCCCCCATTTGTCTGCCATCCCATTGCCTCCTAGAAGCCAGCCTAAAAATCCTGCAGGCTCAGTTGAGATAAGGTGGTCATGATTGAGCATAAACCTGGACCAGTTAACAACAGGGACCGGTAGAGACCCTGTTTACATTTGTCATTTCAAGTGTGATGTATGGCGGATAAAATCCAGATGCAATGTACGATACTTTCGTTTACACTAAGCCACATATGTGCGCCTCCATTGGCAAGATCCCAAAAGTTTGGAAACTGAACAGCAGCGTACCTTAAGACACTGTTATCACAGGGGACAAGCTATAGAGGTATAGATGGCTTCCACAGATAACATACTGATGAAGTTACACTTAAGAGGAGTAAATTACTTCTGGATTTACACCTTTTCAACATCTAGCTAGAATGCCAGAGCTGGTTTAAGCAATTAGACTTCAATCCATCTCGAATGCTTCTTGGACACATTTACACAACTTTTTTTTGTGATCCAATAGTTATCTCACACGCCTAAGACACATGACGTGTCAGTGAAGTGTAAATGGAGTCTTAGACGATGATGACAATTTGAACCGAGTACCAGATTTCTTTTCGGCTCTGTCTTGTTAAAGCTGAAAGTAATTTTGGTCTTTAATGACACCCCCAAGTCAAGCAAATTGCATCTGCCAGACCACAATGAGCAATGTGAGGGTTTCAAGGCTGGCTTTTATGCGGATTCCAAGCCCATCCCTCCTATATTATAATCCTGGTTTATTCTCACATGTTGACACATTGGACAAGGGTGGAGATTGTCTGTGATGTTTTTTTGGTTTTATGGTTGTGTTTGGTTCCCCCCCCCCCATGCCAAATGTAGAGTTTGTGAAGACATGCAAGTAGCAAGATGTCTATGCAATTTCCCTCCAGCTCCCTTCAAAAGACAGCTCAATGTTACAACAACGAGCCAGTCATGCTTCTGAAATCAAATTCGGCCTGGCTTGAATTCCAGATGTTCTTTGTGGCCTAAAGACCCTTGCCACTTTGTGTGGGCGAGGGTCAGGACTGCCCAGATGAGCTGGCCTTTAGCCCAGCCTACTGGCTGGTTTCGGTCTCAAAAAACAAGTAGGAGGGGTACTGGGGATGTTGTGGAGAATAAGGATTCTACGAGATGTGCTGTTTTTTGTAAACTGTTTAGAAAGTGGTGTGTGTGTGTGTGTATGTATCTGTGTGTTGTTTGGACATTTGGGTACTACTAATGTCTAATTGATGCGATGCTCTCATTGTTTGGTGGGTTGATCATTAAGGCTACAGAGCCTCAAATTCCAAAAGCCCCTAAATTCAAACCTTCTGCAATATGTGTGTGAAGCATTAATTCTTCTATCCTGCGACCAAGTAAATGTAACGTTAAAGAGTATTCCGGGTGGTTGATGTCAATCAGTGGGATGTACGTAGCATAAGCAAGTTTACTTAACCCATTACCTCTGCTTTTGTGACGTGAGCAAAAGATTTGAAAAATCTCACCCCACTGTAGATGAACGTCTACAACCTTCCCTGACCATTAGTTGTACTAGAGCACTTAACTAAAAAGCACTTTGAATTGCCCAACCCCCGAATCTTTGGTGGTAATAATTGTGACAAAAAAAAGACTATAAATTACACCCAAGCCAGTTGCCTTTTCCACAATTTAATGTTTTTTAAATTAGTTTAACCCGAAAATAAACTGTGTTGCAGCCTTTAGGCAAAGACAAATGACTAATTATAAAGTTTACAATTATTTTTAATGAAGTGCAATAAGTGAGTGAACCTTTTGTCGTATTTCTTGTCTCATCAGATCTTATTTGTACATTTGTGGGAAAATAATAATCTCTTGATTGCTTTTAAAATGCGCCCACCCGTGAGAGCATCCGCTCCAGACACACACGCTCACACGTACACACATAAACACAGACCACTTTTTGTGATTGGGTAAAGGAAGCTATTGAAGGATTCTCTCAGGTAAAAGAACATTTTCTAATAAATGATGATGAACCTTAGATGAAAAACCATTGTTAGCTCATCTTTTTTTTGTCCTCTCAATTTACAATCAGCAGTGTACCTTTTTTCTGTTCTGTGTTCCTTCCTGGTCAAGTGTCATATTTGAAAAGGTGTAGACGTCCAAGGATTTGGATCCTAAGTCTACTTCCGCCACAAAGAATCATGCCCCCGTTGCTTTCTTAATCCTAGATAAAAACCGATTTCTTCATGTGTGGAGGTGGAAGAGTGTTGTGTTTGTCTGTTGGGGATGTTTGGGAGTTGTGTTTGGCACTGTATGGAACCCCATTCCCACCAGGAAAAGTCAATATCACCAACCACAAATTTGCATCAAGGGGCTTTACAATCTTAGAGCCTCATTTCGGATAAGGAAAAAGGTGACATTGGCAGAGTTGTTTTAACTGATCGACACGTCCCTCTAGAAGAGACACCTCATATGTGAATGTGGAACAGTTAGCAAGACGGCCTTAGCGTGTGGGTGGTGAGAGGTTAAGCTTGTAGGCTAGGCTAGCCCCTAATGCCAAAATCGTTTTGAAAATAGAAAAGTATTTGGACTTACAGAACAGAGTAGAAAAGTAAAGATAAAGGAGAGTGATGAGATTAAAACAGGAAATTGACGAGGGAGAAAGAGTTGATCTCATAGAAATCCCCAAATCACATAATGTGGGTCACAGGAGGCAGTGTCTCAGCGTTGAAAATGAAATGTTAGGAATGACCCAAATAAAACATTCTCATGGTAAATTTGATACTTGTTTCCAAATTCGACTTATTACGACATAATTTTAACTTAATGTGTCAAAATGATCACATGCTATCTCTATATTTTATACTTAAAAAGCCAAACGTTTTACTATTATAATCCCTAACTCTGCATCTTTTTGTCCCCTGGTGGAAATGGGCTTCCATAGTACAATGAAAACACACAAGAATGTTTTTGTCTTTTTTTTATTATTCAGGTCAGCCTATTTTTATTTCAAAATCCTAAATTAATCGCATTCAAACTTTTCTCATAAACACGTACCAGAGTGTGCACCCCTTAGTGTCACTAATAGTCAAGTCTTTGCACTTTCTCCCTTTACGGTCAAAGTGCCAGGAGCAATATCCAGCCCTCCCTCACCCAGTTGGCTAATGGTGTAAATACAGCAGTACATGGCTCCCATCCAAGCCGGGCTCCATCCACCCTTTGGGGGGCAGAGGAACTGGCTGTGTTCCTCCGTCCACAGGCCTGTTCTATTTCAGTGGGCTTACTGTTTAACTTTGTGATGTGCTGAAAGATTGGCATGGCTAAAACCAAGGCTGTGCATGTATATAGGTGTGCATGTGATTGTCAGTGTCCATGTTCATGTGAGAGAACTGTTCTGTGTGTGCAAGTGTGTGAACGCTTTGCTATAATGATGATGATGGTCTGTGGTGCTGATATCTGATCAACCTGCTTTGTTTTCCCTCCCGAACCCTCAAAAGCACCTTTTTAGGCCGCGGTACATGACAGAAGTCTGTAAAACAGAGTCCTGCCATAGACTTGTATTATTTCCTTTGAAGAATGTAACTAATATTGTGTTCAGCAGGCTAACAGAGAGTTAAAAAAGCAGGGGGTCTTGGGAACCATTTATATGTGGGAGTGGTGAGCTTGTAGGAGATAAAGACTGAATTGCAAGAGTGGGTAATATTTCAAAAGAAAAGCTGCAACGATTCCCACAAACAGAAGCCAGACTGTTACTCGCAGAACAGAGCAGATTACTGCCACGGCTACAGTTCAAGGCTTTGCTATTTTGTTTCTCTTTTCCAAATGATGGCCTTATTGATTGCTTTTGTATCCCTCCTCCTCTGTGGTATTGTTCCACAGCATGTTTCATAGGGCACTAGAGGATTTATTATGAAGGCCTGCGTTTAGAAAATGCATGCTGCAGTCGAATCTCTGGTAAAGAGTGAATTAGTGTGCTGGTTGGTAGCAGTTGAGGACTCCCAAGAGTGATTTTTAGGTTATCGCAATGCACAATATTAAATGACTAAATCCAAGTAGAGATCCCCTTTTGGGGAACATTACCACAACAAAAGAATTAGTAGAGAATTTATCCGCCCATGAGCTGAACAATTGCCAAATCTGCTTACTGGGCATACCATCAACACTGTCTTCATCAAATCTTTGAAACATTTAGATACGTGTTTAGACTGTTTGATTTTTAAATTGTGACGGTTAACATACTGTTTCACACCCATCCCTCGTGTGTTAATGGAGTATAAATAGAGAGATGTATAAATCATGAGCTAACACTACACCACCTCACCCCGTCCCTTATCCGTTGGCACATGGAGCTCCATTCACTGCTCTGAACTACAATCTGGCCACTAGACTTTATGAATAGCTTTGATCGGACACTGTCCTGATTTGAGACCATTACCTAGTACACCAAATCCCGAGACAGAACTAAGAGCACTTATAGGTGGTATTGCGAGTTGTTTTGTGCTGCTCAGAAAGGAGATTTATAGTCATGGGGATATTTTTGTAAACGGGTGGGAAATCACATGCCTAGACAGCTAAGAATGTATGCAAATTTGCTCATCTATTTATAGTTTATCAATCAGAGATATAGATCAGAGATTGGATAAATTGTGCGAATTGTATGGTAGTTTGAGGAGATCTATGAGAAAAATATGCAATGTTTGTCAGGTTGAAAAAAAGGTTTTGAATTGGTTCAGAACTGCTCAGGTTTGATAAAGCGGCCTCAAAGGGTGCTTTCCGTCCTCTCTCTACCATCTGCTCTTGTCTCCCTTGTCCTGTGTTCTTTCAAACATCCTCCGAGCATATACACTCAGCTCTCTTGGCACATACCGTACAAAAGCCCACTGTTGTATGCAAAACCAGAGGAAATGCTCTCTACTCAGCTAACTTTGAAACCTAAAGAAAGGGATCAATTTATGAACCGTTTTCCAGTCTGTAGCAGGTCCAAGCCACTTTATACAGCACCAGCAAATCACCTACAAACTCCTCTTTAAGGCTTCATGTCCACTGGGAACATCTTTACTGTGCCACCTTTTTGCTCACATTGTTTACAACTGAAAGGACTCAGTGTTGCATGTACAGAAAGCTTAGCATGCTTAAAGTATGTTCTTCAAAACTTTTAGCAAAAACACACTATGCTTCAAAGTGGTGTCTTCAACAGCCGATGATTCGCTAAAAAGCAGATACCTGGTGGACGCAACAAGTTCTGTCTTGTATGCAGCAGTTGGTGCTGGTTGATGTTTCCATGTCAGATTTTATTTCTAGATGGGGCTATGTTGTACAAATGTCTATGAACTGTCTATGTGTCTGTATTCACTATTTTACAATCCACTGTCTTATTGAGATGAGATATATGGGAGGCTCAAAATGAAAAAGATTTTTTTTACACACCTGTATAGAAACAAAACAGGTGCATCGGAGAACATGATGGTAAATCAAGAAAAAGTCAACAGTGATGTGAGGGCAAAGAAACCTTTATTTGACCTTTATTATTAACAGAGTGCGAGCATTGACAGTGTGCAGGAGTTTACTTTGTCTTGATTTAACGTAACGGTGCCAGTTTTAATGCCTGAACTTTGCATTTAAACACTTTTAGATCCATCGCCAAGTTTGGCCAATAGAAGCATATTGAAGTCAACCTCAGAATCTGTGGAGGTCTCTCTGGGTTACGTTTTGACTTCTTGTTTCTTTTGAAATTTTTATTGTCAGTTTTTCTTGGATTCTCTCAAGGTTCCTGTTCAGCCTGCTCCATATATTTGTGACTATGGAAACACATATTATAACTTCATGACTTCAAACCAGCAGTAGATGTTTCACAAAACTTACAAAAAAATAATAAACATGCAAATGAGCTATAAACCACAAACAACAACAGCTAATACAACTACTTTTCTTACTTTTGTATCACTCCTTCAAGAGTTGCTTGCTTCACTGTGACTGCAGAGGCTGCTGGGAAAACTATGATGTGTTCTGCAGACACTCAGGGTCTGATCCTATCAGGGTCAGGGTTAGCCGGAAGGTGCCAAAGAGAGGATTTGAGGTGTTTTTGTTAGTTATGTTGAAAGCCTATCAACCTGTTGTCACAGCTCTCCATGCAAACTATAATCAAGGCAATTACATTATCTCTGGAGACATCTGGGAATGACAACGTGCAAGAGATTGAAGCAGAGTTTGTCACTAGACTTCATTGTAGGTAGCACGGTCCTGCAAGGGCATCTCCTGAAACCCGGACATTTCAGCCACTCAGTGCTTAATAAAATTATTTATGGGAAGAAAGCTAATCTTCTTATCTATGTTCAAATAATAAAAATAGAGAATTACTTTGACAGAGAAAAAAGGTCTTCTTTTGAAGTCAACACAAACAATGTAATATCGAGTGCTGCCCAGCAGCAGTAAGCTCAGTGCTGCCACTGGTCACAGAATGCATGTAAAGGAGAATACTGTTTAATGCAGTAGTATTGCTTTAATAGTTCCTCTGGCCACCAGCAGCAGCACTGTGCCATCTTTGGTTTTACATGCTTTGTATTGAATGTGGATGTAGACAGAGAACTGAATACAGTGCCACTGGCAGTATTGCAATGAAAAATCCCCCACAGCCCAACAAGCATTTCCCCCCATACAATTAATACTCGTTGTATTATGTTTTTTTCTTATAAAGCTTTCCAGAAAGGGTGTGACATCCCCAGGGGGCCAACTTAAAATTTTTGTTACTTTGCACTTACCAAACGCCATTTTATTAACCACCTTTTAAGTCACTGAGATGATTGCTTGCCATTCGGAGAGGTTGTATTTTAAACATTCTTCCTGTACTGAATTTTGTGAGCCAGTGAGTGACTACAATGTCTAGGTTTGTACATATCGTGGTCCGAGATCAGGACATGCTAAATGGAGATTTCTAGAGAGCATAAGAAGCCAAAGGGAATACAAATCCAGATGGGAATCTGTAGTAAAATAAGTCATTGTGCTTGCACTGTATAACAGAGTTTGCAGGTACATCCTAGGCTGAAGTCTCCTGCAGTGAACAGAGGACACAGTACACAGGGAAACACATGGCCATTCACTGTACTAAGTGTAGAGCTCTATCCAAAGGTGCCAGATAGTTATATATTTTCAGGGTAATACAAAGAGTAGTTTAAAGTATTTAAAAGTGTATTCAGTTTACTGACAACGTACAGGATACTATTAATTGCCCTGATACTACAAACCCCAGCATCCTGGTATCTGGTGCAGGTTGAACCAGACAGTAAGAAGTATCTGAAAATATTATTTTTATTCTAATTATTGTTATTGTTTAACTCTCAGTTGACGTCACTGTCACAGGCATGCAAAGCAAAGGAACAATATTTAGGATTCATTTCCACGAAGCACAGGGGCAAACAAACATGCAAGGACATACGATCAAGCTTTAGGCAGCGCTCTGGGCTAAATAAATACACACTGTCTTGTCTTTCAATAAACACACACATGCGCAGGAAACCTCCGAATATCTACTGTGATCTCCTCTCACACCACCCACACCTTCATCACACCGAACCTCTTCTCACCTGGACCTGTCCTCCCTGTGATTACCCATTACCCGGTTGTTCCCGAGCACCCACCACCCCCCTCTTTACCTCCTCCCAACATGAGTCCAGTGGGTGGTGTGATGTCAGGTTTTTGTGGTGGGCTGCTTTTGACAGGTCCAGACAATCAGCGTGTTTGTAAATGTCGATGTGTGATTTTCAAATCTTTGTTTATGGTCAGGGTTTTAAAGGAAGATATTTTTATGGTAATTGTCGCTGGTCTATTTTACTATATATTTATGTAATAAATATGTGACTAAATTTACATCTCACTGGCTCTTTTTGGCTCTCAGTTCTCCAGCCAACTACATCATGTGCTGGAGGGTTTTCATTAATGGACTAATAAATTAAACCCACAAAAACCTTTTCTTGTTATCACCTCATTGTCTCTCTTATATGCAGTTGTATATAGACTTTTGAGTCACTGTACATAGGAATAAATGTCATTTATTCTATCATGATGGTATCATATCTTAAAATTGAAGATTAGAGCTGGATATCTTAATATCTAATCCTGATTCCTGCAAGTGCATCATAGCGATTTGTACTGTCCTTACATGTTACTCTAAAAGATGAAAAGTATATTATCACTGCATCAGTACTTCACACAAATATACTCTGCACTTATAATAGATGAAAATGTAAATGTCCCTTTATACGTAATCCAAGATGAGCACTTAATCCTAGAAATATTTGCATAATTGCAAAACAATGTTATTAACAGTTGTATGCAGCAAAAGGATGTAGACTCAGTGGGCTGAAGTAATGGCTAAATGAGGAGTAAACAAGGTTTGTCTGGTCAAATCAGTGTCGGACTGGATAGGCACTGGCAGCACTGCTCAGTTCATCAGCACGTCACACCGTATCCCGTCTGACTTTTTTTGACAGATCAAATCAAATGTCTCTCAGAGTGCTGTGAGGTTTCCCAGTGAGAGACAGCTGGTCCTAGGGCTATGACGGCTAATTCTTCAACCCAGAGTGATTCTTCGTCACAGATGGGAGGGTTGTTGCCTGCACCCTTAGTTGCAAAAAGAAAATATTGCTTAATTCAGTGTATCTCTGTTGATGATGTTTTGCTGTCCTATAGTGAGCTCCAGCCTGTTCTGTGTTGCTGAAATGCAGAAAAAAAATCTAATTTTTACACCTTGTAAATCCTCATGTCATGGGTTTATGATACTTGCTTTTGCTGCAAGTTGAGGCAATTTGGATTAGGGTTAGCAACCCAGCAGCTCAGCAAATTGTGGAAAACCTGTCACCAGCTCCCTTGTGACACCTTAAACTCATACAGTACAAATATGAAGTAATATGTTTTTCCAAAAACCTTGAGGGGGAAAAAAAATGTTCCACATAAAATGGGATTTATGGTTGAAGAGTGTTCAGTTATTGCTGTCTTGTACAAACAAGGATCCAGGTTGGAGTCTGACCTGTGACAGAGGACAACATTAATGATGATATGGAGTAAAGGTCTGCAGGTCATAAAGGGTCACTTGAGGGTGACATATCCAGTCTGACAGAGTATCGCCATCTGGTGGTCAAATAATGAAAAAAATATTGTGTCCTGTGGGGGAAAAAAAAACATCTTCAAAATGTCAACTTTTATTAACTTCTAAGGAAAACAGCTTTGTTTAAGATAGATAAATGCATAAATGATCATTTAAAATTACATAAATACAAAAAACAATTCAAACATTGAATATAAATATTTTTGTTTAAAGCTTTATGAAAATTGTAAAGTGCAATATTCCCCCAATTTGCCAAAACACATTTTCTTATAGTTTTTTTTGCCACTTGCTGCATTAGCATTCATTGAAGTCTCTGTTTTTGCTCTTTACCAACTGCTGAGGGAAATATCTGTCTCTTTATCTGCTAAATTCTCCACTGTGTTCACCAACTGGCTTTTACTGATAACAGCTACCTACTGGTTTTGGAAATGAGGTTGATGACAGCCCTGAGTGTGAACCAAATCAGGAAAGTTGCAGGCCATAAAACAAAAACGACGAGCTAAAAGGCTCAACACAGCCCTGAGGGAAACTGCAGAGTCAGTCAATTGTGTTATGTTGTGCTGTGTACTATGAGTGACTCTTTTCACATGATATGTAGTCAACTGAGCCATTGCTAATACAAAATATTGATCAGTGCAGCTTTAAAGATAGTAACTAACAGAGATTCTTGATTGACGCTTAATGACTGAAATTAGTTTTAGTTATTTGTTTTGAAATCCAACTTTTCTATTGCATTTCTTAACTTCTAGAATAAAAGTTGTCTTATACCATTCTTGTCCCACGTTTTATGCCACAACAAGATCAGTATTGTAGGTGGCCTGCAAATCCATTGGATTTGTCATTGTACTCTCTTCACTTCTAATGGAGTAACTGCATGTGTGTAAAGGAAAGCTGTGATTCATGCTCCTGGATGCTGCGGTTCACTGGTGTCTATATTCTGACTCATCTGGAGAGGTGCGTAATTGGGTCTATTACTGTGTAGCAGGTGATGTGAATGACTTGAAGGCTGCACTTCCTAAGAACGCAGGGGTTTTTTATATTTGGTGTGGGCAGGGTGGATCTTTTCACATGAAGTCCGCCATGTGGGTGGAAGCTGTTGTGGGGGCTGTGATCTCACAAAGGCAGCTTTTCCGCCAACCAATCCCTCTCTAGTTGGTTGGACGATAGCCCAGCCCCCTCCTCTCTCTCCCTCTGCCTCTCCTTCTCTCTCTCTCTCCCTCATGCCTCGTGTGTGTCATGCACACACCCTCTCTCTCTCACACACATACACACACTTCATGCTCCGTCATAGCAGGAATTTTCCACTCAGCAGCAGGAGAACATTGCAGCCAGCTGCACTGTCAATTGCAGTATATGGTTGAATTTCAAAGACAGTTTGCAGACACCCCTTTTTCTTCCAAACCGCTTCTCCTGGCTTTTTCCTCACGTGTATAGCAACACAGATGCACACAACCGCAGCTACGTAAAGTACATGGTGTACTGTACGTGTTCCATGCTTGTAAGCCAGCAGCAAAAACTCTTCATTTTCATCTGTGTCTGTGCTCTATTCTTTGCAACACTGGCTGAAAAGAACACACAAACATGACCACGTGTTTACCAGGACACTGGAGCAGAAGAATGCAAGTTCAAGTATAAGGACCCAAGGGAGACAGGACGGCCTACTATTACCTCTCCCCCGTCTCCCCCTGTCTCTTTCAATGTCTTGTACACACTTCTAAAGAATCTTTCATGGACCAGCTCCAACAGTAGCTCTCTTTATTCTCTCCTCATCTCTATTTCTCACAGTCTCTCCCTCTTTTGTGTCACCACCATAAACTCTTGAGAAGATCAAGGACAGCTATGCACATGTAGCATGTGGTCTGTGTACATTAGGGGCCTCTTATGTAAGTGTGAGCTCACCCTCCTCCCCTTCCCGTCGCCCATATATTTCCCTGCTTCCTCTCAAATCAGGTCAGGTGAGGACGGCAGAGCTAGAGAACTGCCATGGTCAGGTTAGGATGGCATTGAAAATACAGACGTAATCTTGGAAACCTACACCACACGGGGAGGCTCACGGAAACATGGCGGGGTATTTGAGGAACATTTTTTATAAACATTGGCTTGACCTGGAGCCATGTGAATGGACAGAAAATAAATAGATTCTGTATTAATTTAAAGTAGCAGCACAGTGCCACCTGTTTCAACATTGCTCTTCTGCCGGTGTTGATTAGCCAATGTCATTTTAAAAATACTTTTTGTCTACTTCTATATACACTATATGGCCAAACTTATGTGAATACTCCTCCTCACTTTTGGTCTGGGGCAGTGATTTATGGTTTGGGCCGGGCCTCTTAAAGGTCCAGTGGTTAACATTTAGGAAGATCTATTGGCAGAAATGGAACATAAGAATTATAGGTATATTTTCATTTGTGTATAAGCAACTGAAAATAAAAGTCGTGTTTTCATCACCTTTAAATAAGCTGTTTTTTATCTATGTAGGAAGCAGTTGAACCGCCATGTTTCTGCAGTAGCCCAGAACAGTTCGCAGCCACAGTAGTTTCTCCCACATCCTTGAAAAGCGTTCAGCAGGTCATTCTGTAACTTCACCGCTAGAGGCCACTAAATCCTACAAACTGGTCCTTTAAAGGTGGAGACAGCGACTCTGGAGAAATCCTGTTAAATACCATAGTGCGAACAATGACACAGCAAGTATTGTACCTAATGTTAGCTGAGTTGTGGGTTTGCAAACTGCTGCAGAGAGGCTGCTACAATAACATCACAACAACGGCATGTGTTCACTGCTAAATATCTGAATGTATATTTACAGTACATTACTGGCTACTAGTTGCATTACTTTCACAGCAGATTACTCTATGTACATGTACAGTAAATTACTGGTAACTGGGTACATTACTTTTACATTAAGTTACTTTTATGTACTTTTTACGGTAAACCTTTGTGAAATAACAGTGGTAAGCTGTGACCTCACTGTAGTTGTGCAAGCATATTACTCCAATTTAGGAGTATGCTCCTGTAGAATTACTGTATTTACATGTAATTTCACAGTTAACGTCCACCACATTACTGTAATCTAGCAGTATGCTGTTACACCGTTACCTGACGCACAAATCCTGGATGGAATGGCCGGAATAGTGTTTTGTGGCTTGGTCCAGTCCACTTGGTTTGTTTCTCATTTACAGAGCTAGAGCTGTGAACAAACACCGGGTTTTGTTTCAGCCCACTCACAGAGTGTAAAGGTAGCGGACCGTGAGGAGATATTCACTGAATTTGAAAGGAAGTGTATTGGATTAGAATAGCTTACTTCACTTTTAAGGATATTCTTACAAAAAATACTTCAACATTTTAGAAATATGTGTAGTACTTGGGATTGGCTTAGTTTAGCAAAAATACACCTACTGTACCACCACCTCTAAGGTTGGATTTATAGTTGACAGAAGAGGTTGACCCACTCTATATATAGATTGTGGGCTACACACACTGTTTTAATGTCTTGTCCATGTCTTGGCTGGCCTGCACAGAGCCCCTCCTCAACCCTTTCCAACACCTTTGGGATGAACTGGAACACCGACCGAGAGACAGACCTTCACCCGAAATCCGTGTCTGACCTCTCTGATGCTCTTGTGGCTGAATGGAGTCAATTCCCTGCAGCCAGGTTCCAAAATTGAGACAGTTATAGCAGCACATTAAAGCCATGGTCTCTGTGAAATGTTCATCACACTTTTGGCAGTACTTTTATATTAATCTTAGCTGCAAAAGGATTGCATAAATGTGGGTTGTTTATTAATGCTAGAGCTCATGAATTATAGTAAAAATGTATTTTTCTTTACTCTTTACACTACCAAAAAAGGCAAACAGCTGAATAAATTCCAGATTTTATTTTTAACGGCACAAGGAGAAGAAATACTTGGAAAATAAAAAATGCATTGACTTGGAAAAAAATCATGTGGGGCTTCTGAGGAAAGCAACCTCCTGGGATGGAAGCTTTTCCGAGAGAATCCATTACAGCCTAAGTCAACATAAGAAGACATAAAAATGTAAAATGTACACTTCTGGAGAAGCGAGAGCAGGAGTGTGAGAAATGACAAGTGAAGCAAAAATAATTACCAAAGATTACAAAGATTACAGAGGTTCAGCACTCATCCAGTGTAATGTACTGTAGTGAGACACATGCAGACATAATCTCATAGGTTAACTCCTTCTTAAAATGATAAAATATCAGAGGTTGCGTGAACATCATGCAAGAATGTATGGAAGGTTCCTTGGTCAGGAATTAAGTAGTAGTTAAATAAGTGCTACGATTATGGAAAGGTAATGAGGATTAAATTTAATAAGGAGATTAGAGGTAGGGGGTCTGAGAGGACGGGGCCAACTAGACACTGACAGAGGACAGTGTGTGTATGGAAGGTTGCATAAGATCAGGTAGAGTTGAGGAGGTGTGTGGAGGGTTATCCCAGGACGAAGGGAGGAAGGCTGTCTCCCATGTCCTGCATACCAGCTTGTACTCCCAACATAAACACCATACACTGACCTTATATAATACATTATGATGATCCTGACAGCACATACAGACTGATACAATATGCAGTCTTGATTTACCGGTCCACACTTCTCCCCTCAATAAAACACTTCCAAGACACCAGGAGTCAAAAACCTGTTAGTGAGTGCAAAACCATGAATCATGTACTGCATGTAGTGACACTTTGTGTTCTGGCCAAGATAAAAAACTGAGATAAAGGCACAGTGGAAGCCTGAGCTAAGTGCTCGAGATTGCATAGAGTGATTAATTGCTATAAACTGTGCACAGTTTTTTTGCTCAACGATTGATAGACACTGCATGACTAGAAATGTAGACTCCTAAAACACTGTTGAATCTCTCATTCCGAAAACTTGTGCATTAATACAGTATGGTGCTATAGCCGCCTCCAAATTTCTCTAAAGATTTTATAGTCCAGTTTCAAAGATTTACTACCATAAGAGTATAAGTGAGGTCAGGAAAAATTGGTGTACAGTGCATCCAGAAGGTGTTGGGTGGGGTTGAGGTCAGGCCAGTCAAGCTAAGAAAATGTCTTTATTGACTCGTTTTCTCTATGAAGGCGTGTTGGAAACAAAGTTGGAAGCACACTGTCCTCTAAAATATAACTGTAAGATTTCCCTTAATTGGAAGTAGCCCAAACCACAAAAAACAGCACAAGACTCATGGTTCTACTGGTTCCCTTGGGTTACAGCTGAGCTAAATGGAATGAGTAACATGTTTTTTCTGCGTCTAAAATATCTTAAACCCATCAGACTGAATAAATTCTTCATTGCACTGTAACAAATTATTTAGGCAACAAGGCTACGCTAGACATAATGTAGTTCTCACAGCGCACCCCAAGGGCCAAAGCTAGATCTGTGGGCTGACAGAACATAAAACACAAACCATTAAATGAGTTAAGATGTGTTAAGATGTTTTTTTTGGACACAAGACGTTGCACACAGTAATATCTTTGCCAAAATCTGCTAAAATATGGATTAAACATTTACACAAGCCGTATACAAATCAAGGAAGGAAGAGGAGCCAAATAAGGAGAAAAAATAAAAATATATAGGATATAGTTTCTTTTTACTTTGTGTTTAACTGATATACCTGATTTGTACAGTCTGCTGCCAAAACTCAAATGACAAATTGATATTTCAAACCAAAAAAACTGCACATGTGGCGACATCACTGCTGTTGATGTTTTAAAAGTATTGGTAGGATTTTTAGCGCCATCGTGTGGGCACAACTGGCATCGCTTATATAGCGGCGGTGGTGACGCGGTGAAGGGATCAACCAATAGCGAAGCACGTTTGAGAGCGAAGGCGCGTACGAAATAGAAGCGGAAGTCGCTCACATCCAATATGTCTGCTGGCGTTTAGCTCTCCGCTCCACGAAAACAAGACGCGTGGAGAATGGCAGACGGCGGAGTTGACGAGCTATCGCAGCTTGAATATTTGTCTCTGGTGTCCAAGGTCTGCACGGAGCTTGACAACCATCTGGGAATAAGTGACAAAGATTTGGGTGTGTATTTTTGTGGCTGCTCTAAACGACAATTTGGGATTAGCTACCTAGCCTATGCTAACAAACAGTTGTGAGTTAACTCTAAACGGACATTGTATTCAGCATGTAAAGTGTTTTTTTTTTTTTTTTGCATTTTTTTCCATCCAAACGTAACGTTCACTTAACTTGTGGTCTTTTAGTAAGAGTTTGGATCATCGTTAGTTAATACGAGTTAACTTATTCAACAGTTTGTTTTTGTTTTTTTTTGTCCGCTGTTAATTTGTTGTTGTCTCGCAGCTGAGTTTGTCATCGACCTTGCTGAGAAACAACCGACCTTTGATGGATTCAAAGCCCTTTTACTCCAAAATGGAGCCGAGTTCACAGTAAGTTCAACGCTAAACGTGGCTTTAACAGTCGTACAGTGGCGTGAACTAACATTAAAAGTGAGTCAACTCCGAGCAACTGATCCGTTTTCTTGTGTCCATTGTAGGATTCTCTCATCGGTAATTTGCTCAGGCTCATTCAGACTATGCGACCTCCATCCAAGGAGTCTACGAGTAAAGGTAAGTTCATTAAAGTCATGGACTTCCAAAGCATTCATTGAGGGCACCAGAAAGCATATACCTTGAGAGACATTTCCCCTATAAAAGCGGTGTGATATTTACTGTGTATGTACAATGTTATATGGTGTTTCCACATACATTTCTACCGTGGGAATTATCAAAACTACAGTTGATCCGTAACTGTCCATTTTCAGCCTCTGAGGCTTTGGTCAAGCCGAAGTCAGAAAAAGACAAGTTGAAGGAGTTGTTTCCTGCACTGTGCAGAGCAGATGATCCAGCACCGAAGGTACGTGGCTTTATCTGTGGGACCTGTAATGTTACCGTTAACGCAAGGCAAGATCTTTACTTATAGGCTAAAATACTCACCCTTTGACTTTCTCAGAGACTGCTAGACGAAGATGATGTGAAAGTAGCAGCTGATGCCATGAAAGAGCTGGAGATGTTTATGCCCAGTGTCAGTGGGACGGACTCCAAAAGCAGCAAGAGCAAGTAAGGCACTGGTCACATTTTTATTTGGCTTCTTGAAATTTCACCTGCAAGCGACGTATAATGTAATATCATTTAATATAGGAAACAGAAATGACCTGCCAATGGTGGCTTGTGATATTTGCTTTTATTTACTGTTTCAAATAATTTTTTGCAGGTCGGAAAAGAGCAGACGCCACAGCCGAAGTCGCAGCAGAAGCAGAGAAAAGGACCGACACAGGGACAGGGACAGGGACAGAGACAGAGATCGGGAAAAGGACAGGAAAAGAAGGCATCGTTCTCGTTCTCGCTCCAGGTCCAGGTCTCGCTCCAGAGACCGTGAGCGGCACAGAGATAGAGATAGAGATAGAGATAGAGATAGGGACAGGGACAGGGACAGAGACAGAGACAGAGATAGAGATCGCGGCAAAAGAAGAGACAAATCCTCCCGCTGGAGTGAGCGCTCGCCAAGCCCCAAAAAAGACCAGGACAGAGACTCTGACCGCTGGAAGGACAAACATGTGGACCGCCCTCCACCAGAGGAGCCTTCTGTTGGTGACATCTACAATGGCAAAGTCACCAGTATCATGCAGTTTGGATGCTTTGTTCAGCTGGAGGGCTTGAGGTCAGTGTAGAGTCACCAAAGTGATATTAACACGACTTTTTTTTATTTTTTTGTCACATCAAAAACACCAGTTCTGTAAATCCGATTGTCATGTTGTTGTTCTTTTGTATGTAGAAAACGCTGGGAGGGGTTGGTCCACATTTCCGAGCTGCGTCGAGAGGGTCGTGTGGCCAACGTGGCCGATGTTGTCAGCAAAGGCCAAAGAGTTAAGATCAAGGTGCTCTCATTCACTGGCTCCAAGACCAGCCTCAGTATGAAGGTAAGAAGAGTCTTATCGAACAGACTTCTGTGAAGAATAAATTCAGTGAAATTTATGTGCATGTAGAATTCAGAAGGAAGACTTTCAGATTTATTTGTTACCCAGGTTGAAAAATTGTGATCTTGATGGCAGCGTTTGTGCTTAATTAATTTGATTTAAAAGATTTTGTGTGTGGTGGGGGATTTATTCTGATGTTCTCCTCTTAAATCAGAGCTGGTATTGGTTTGTAGTAATTAAATCATTTAGATTTTCCCGTGAGAGATATTTGGAAATACTAGTTTATCGTCATGGGATCTGCTCTCAGGGTCGATTGTTATCCCTCGACTTGTCAGCACGACGTTCTTCTTATCTTTTCCCCCTGTCGTTGCCAGGATGTGGACCAGGAGACGGGAGAAGACCTGAACCCAAACCGGAGGAGGAACGTGGGCCCAGATGGAGGGGAGGAGATCTCCATGAGGAACCCCGACCGACCGAGCAACCTGAACCTGGGACACGCCCCGGAGCTGGAACAGGACGACACCCTGGAGCGCAAGAGGCTCACCAAAATCTCTGACCCTGAGAAGTGGGAAATCAAACAGGTGGGTCTATACAGCCTGTATTTCTGCACAAAGACTACTAAGGAAAACTCGGGATCCCTTTTGAAGGTCTATTTTATCAAATGCCAATACTCATTCTCTTTATCTGCCCCCCCAGATGATTGCTGCCAACGTCTTGTCCAAAGAAGAGTTCCCTGATTTTGACGATGAAACAGGGATCCTTCCTAAAGTTGATGATGAAGAGGGTAAGACAGTTTCTTTTTACTAGTGTGTAGTAAAACACACATACAGGGTTACTCATGTCTGTACAAGTTTGTAACGAATGATTGTCACTGTTTGATTCTTTTACAGTATTTGAGTCACTAAACAGAAAATACACTTTCTTATGAAAACTTTTATGTAATTTTAATTATTGTTACATTACATAACAGTGTTTTGCCGTTTCCAGTCCAGTGGAGCGCCTCTATCGATTGCATTGTTGTTCCGCCACTTTGGTCCAGACAGAAATATCTGAACGACTGAAAGGGTTTCCACAAAATCGTTTGTTACCCAAAGGGTGAACTGCAATAGCTTTACTTCACTTTCCATGTGGGGCCACCGTCAGGTCAAAATTTCCATTTGTCCAATACTTTGATTTATAACCACATTCTGCAAAACAAATGACCTTCCCATCAGCCTCAGCTGTACTTTTGCCTTTAGCTCTAATTATCAAATGTTCGAATGCTAATGAAGCTAGTGAAATAGCGAACATTAAACCTACTAAACATAAGCATGTTAGCATTGTTATTGTTATTGTGAGCTTGCTGGCATTAGTTCAAAGCACCACTGTACAGTCTCACACAGACACTAGCATGGCTGTAGACTCTTGCATTCCATTCTTATGAAATATGACTTAAGTTGCTTGCTAATTGATCTTGTTTTGCTGCCATTCAGATGAAGATTTGGAAATTGAGCTGGTTGAAGAGGAACCCCCATTCCTGAGGGGACACACCAAACAAAGCATGGACATGAGCCCGGTCAAGATTGTCAAGGTATGTCTGAACATCTAGCCAAAGACACAGAGGAGAGACTTCACAAGAACTCAATTGGAAAATACAGTTTAGTTTTTTTACAAGTTGGTGTGAACTGAAGGGAGGGCAGTTACTCGAAAGGAGTCGATTTGAAAAATATATTGTTTTTGATCAGCACACGGTATATACAACTTAATAAAATGTACACTTAAGTCACATGGTCCTGTGTTTTCCCCTTTGCCCGCAGAATCCAGATGGCTCTCTGTCCCAAGCGGCCATGATGCAGAGCGCTCTGGCGAAGGAGAGACGAGAGCTGAAGCAGGCGGCACGAGAGGCAGAGATGGACTCCATCCCCATGGGGCTGAATAAACACTGGGTCGACCCGCTGCCAGACGGTTAGAAATCCATTAGATGTGCACATTAAGTAATTTCCAAGTCACAGATGTTGATGCTGAAGTACGATTCATCAAAGCGGGGGACAGCCAGAAAAACATTTGCCAGCTTGAAATTTGCATACTGATCATCTTAACCTCTGTCTTCAGATTTTATTTAAATATATATTTCAGTTTAATTTTTGCTTTTGGCGCTTAGGTTTTGATTATTAGGATCCATTTTGGAATTAAATCTGTGTGTTTGTCCCCGCTTTATCAAAACCACATCCCAGTCTGAGTCATACAGGAGACTTGCTCCATGATGGCAGCAACCCCTCAGGCTTCCCAGCACTGGAGATAGTTATCTGGCTTCCTGCATCCACATATCTGGCCGGATGAAATAGTCTTACCATGGTTCAGTGTGCTTGAATGCCCTCCATGGCCCCAGGTGGTCTAGAAAGTTTCCAGTGGTTGGCATTATCCCGCCATAACCACACAGATCTGGCAGTGACGTAGCTATAAATGTGATGAGATTATAGTTGAAGTGTTAAAAATAGACTTCGTTTGTCTTCATTATCAAGCACACTTCTACTCCTCTTTTACAGCTGATGGTAGGCAGATTGCTGCCAACATGAGAGGCATTGGCATGATGCCTAATGACATCCCAGAGTGGAAGAAACATGCTTTTGGGGGCAACAAGGCCTCCTATGGAAAAAAGACCCAGCTCTCCATCCTGGAGCAGAGGGAGAGCCTGCCCATCTACAAGCTGAAGGAGCAGCTCATTCAGGTTTGTAAAAACATAAGTTAAAAAGAGAACCCAAAGGGAGACTTCACATAGATTTAGTTGGATGCTTCACATGGGAGTTTATAATAGATTCTCATTAGGTTCTTTTGAAAATGTGATTATCTTTTAACAAGCAGATGTTGATGCTTAAGTAGATTTATGCTTTAATATGCATTAAGCATCTGCTGGATGTAAAATTACAAGTATTTTTTGTTTTAATTTGCATTCCTTTGGTGCTGATGAAGTGTGATCAGGCAACTCCTTCAGAAATGTGTCTAAATAAAAAAGACAGTACCAGTGCCACAGTGCACTGGTTGCATTGTCTGTAGTAGTATTCTTCTGTTGATATTTCTTAAACTCATATTAGCCTTAAGGGAGACTGGCTACCATTCAAGTGCCAGTTTATAACATTTGCTCTCTTGTGTTTTTCTGTCACAGGCTGTTCATGACAACCAGATCCTGATTGTGATTGGGGAGACTGGCTCCGGGAAGACCACGCAGATCACTCAGTACCTGGCTGAGGCCGGTTACACCACCAGGGGGAAGATTGGCTGCACGCAGCCCCGTCGTGTGGCCGCCATGTCAGTGGCCAAGAGAGTCTCTGAGGAGTATGGTTGCTGTCTAGGACAAGAGGTGAGTGATTTATCTGTTACAAATATCACTATCATGAAATGGGAACACAGTAATAGATTTGTTTAATCTCAAGAAGGCTAATCTAAATATTTTTTGTTCCAGGTGGGTTACACCATCCGTTTTGAGGACTGCACCAGCCCTGAGACTGTGATCAAGTACATGACAGACGGTATGCTGTTGAGAGAGTGCCTGATCGACTCTGAATTGGGCCAGTACGCCATTATCATGTTGGACGAAGCTCACGAGAGGACAATCCACACTGATGTTCTGTTTGGTTTGCTGAAGAAGGTAAGACAGATGAGGAGACGCTTCTTTATTCAGACATTCAGGGGAAGAACAGTTGAGTGACGGGTAGGTAAAAAAAGATACTGAGTGTTTTTTTTTTTTTGTCTATCTCAGACGGTTCAGAAACGCACAGACATGAAGCTGATTGTAACATCTGCTACACTGGACGCCGTGAAGTTCTCTCAGTATTTCTATGAAGCGCCCATCTTCACCATCCCAGGAAGAACGTACCCAGTGGAGGTTCTCTACACCAAAGAACCTGAGACAGACTACCTGGATGCCAGTCTCATCACAGTCATGCAGATTCATCTGACCGAACCTCCAGGTATGATTTTAAAATCCTAAAAAAACACAAATGGTGATCTTGTTATCTGTACACCCCAAAAATGGTCCATCTCCAAATCCGTCTTGTCCTTTGTCCAGGTGACATCCTGGTGTTTCTCACCGGACAGGAAGAGATCGACACCGCCTGTGAGATCTTGTATGAGAGAATGAAGTCACTGGGGCCGGATGTTCCTGAACTGATCATTCTGCCAGTTTATTCTGCCCTACCCAGTGAGATGCAGACCAGGATCTTCGACCCTGCACCCCCAGGCAGCAGGAAGGTAATAACATGCCCCAGATAGGATTAAAAGCTTGAGTTGTTTTGTATTTTTTAGAAAGCCAACATGCCTACATTCAACAGTAATCTTTCAAACACATGGTAATATATGTATCTCATAAGATTGCAACGCTGCACTCTACCTAAAATGTCTGTTTGATGCATGTTAGTCCAAAAATATTCTACTTCTGGGAAAGATTTATTGTTCTCTTGGTTATCTTTCTTCACTTCTTATATTAATGGTCTGTTTTGTATGAAATGCCCTACAAAATATTCATGAATTCATTCAGTCCATAGTCTTGATGTATGGCTTGTAATTTTTGCCCCACTATATCTTCAGCTGGCCTCTTGTAGTAGTTTTATTTATTTATTTGTATTATTTATTACAGTACCATTTCTAAAATGATTTAGGTAAACAAGGGAAGTCCTTGGTTTAATGGGCAATGATGGCACAAAAAAGGTAATTTTATGTTTGACATTTGTTTGGAGTTAATGTGGAATAATCTTTGTTTTTTTCCTTCAGGTTGTCATTGCCACAAACATTGCAGAGACATCTCTGACCATTGATGGAATCTATTATGTGGTGGATCCTGGCTTCGTCAAGCAAAAAGTGTACAACTCTAAGACAGGCATTGACCAGCTGGTGGTGACTCCCATCTCACAGGTACAGTATTGGTATAATGTGCTTGATATTGCAGCAGAAGAATACCAAATGTTTCCTGATATATCTGCATATGTAACTGAAGCAGCTGGCTATCTTACTGAGTTGTTTTTAAAATGTCTGTTTGTTGTTTCAGGCCCAGGCCAAGCAGAGGGCAGGCAGAGCCGGCAGAACAGGCCCGGGGAAGTGTTACAGGCTCTACACTGAGAGAGCCTACAGAGACGAGATGCTGACGACCAACGTGCCTGAGATCCAGAGAACCAACTTGGCCAGCACTGTGCTGTCTCTGAAGGTAAACACTCTGCAACAAACTAATCATGCTTACTTATCTTACACAGAATGGGATGTTTTGCTGTTTACGGCGAGTATAAGCTAGAAACGTAGCTAAGATAACATAGTAATGGAGTAGGTTTGTATTTGGAGACCACAGAGGAGTTTCTTTGGCAGATTATCTCCTTCTGTCCCATAACTGACCCTGCTATGTGCAATATTTGCAACAGTTTTAAGTTTCTACTATATTGCCACTTTGTCAGTCAAATAAAATGACTTTGTGTCACATTTATTGAAACAGTGTCACACCTAATTTAAACATCATACTTATTTTTTCTCATACCCATTATTTGTCCAAGTAATCATAGTTTGAGGATTGTTTGACTTTAAGAAGTAATTTGTTAATCAAAGTGAATTCACACCGCTTGTAAACAGGTTTACTATTGAGTAGCATTTGAGTATTTTTATTTTTAATTTTTTTTAAAGGCCAAAAGTTGTAGCCTTTTTGAGTAAAACCATTAACGTTGGTATGCTTTATTCATGTTTCCTCCACCAGGCAATGGGCATCAATGACCTCCTGTCTTTTGACTTCATGGACGCTCCTCCCATGGAGACTCTGATCACAGCCATGGAGCAGCTCTACACTCTGGGAGCTCTGGATGACGAGGGCTTACTCACACGGTTGGGAAGAAGGGTGAGGAATGCTTTTACTTGGTGGTTTGTCTCAGCTGCAAGGACGAGGAGATTAAATCAAATCACATTAATGCACTTTGTAGTTGGATTAAACTAATGGTCAGTGTGTGGTTGCTTCGTTTTTTCTTTTGTCCTTCACTTCCCTCTTATCTCCTACTTTTTTAACATTGCTCCAATTATTTTCTGTCTGCTAGATGGCTGAGTTTCCTCTGGAACCCATGTTGTGTAAGATGTTGATCATGTCCGTCCATCTGGGCTGCAGTGAAGAGATGCTCACCATCGTGTCAATGCTGTCTGTGCAGAACGTCTTCTACAGGCCCAAGGTATGCCCATGACTTCACTTTATATTCAATGACAGAAAATCTTTCTGAGTGGCCATGTTTCTAATATAATTGAAGACCTGGGTAAAATACATGATGATCATGGGAAGTGTTTTTATTCTTCATGATTAGGGATAGAACATAGCTGTGCTGTTACTTGGAAGCTAGTAAAATAAACGGCTTGAAGTCTATTATATAATACTATATAGACAGTTTAGCCTGTTTGTTTTGTTTGTGGATCATTAAAAAAAAAAAAAATAACTGTCCTGTTTTCTGTGTAAAGATCCAATCATACAGTGCTTTAAATGTAATTTTTTTTTTTCTTCATTGTTTGTTTATTTTTCTTGTGTTAAAGGACAAGCAGGCCTTGGCTGACCAGAAGAAGGCAAAGTTTCACCAACCTGAGGGTGATCACCTGACCCTGCTGGCGGTCTACAACTCCTGGAAGAACAACAAGTTCTCCAACCCCTGGTGTTATGAGAACTTCATCCAGGCTCGCTCCCTGCGCAGAGCCCAGGACATCCGCAAACAGATGCTGGGAATCATGGACAGGTATGATTGACGAGAACACAAAGCAGAACCATGATGCATGTTCTGAAATAACCTTCATATAAAATAACATGTTCTCTTCTCTTTAGACACAAACTGGATGTGGTATCTTGTGGCAAAGCCACAGTACGGGTCCAGAAAGCCATCTGCAGTGGCTTCTTCAGGAATGCAGCCAAAAAGGATCCTCAAGAGGGCTACCGCACCCTCATAGACCAGCAAGTTGTGTACATCCACCCTTCCAGTGCTCTGTTCAACCGCCAGCCCGAGTGGTACGACAACGCCTCAGTTCAACGTTTCAGCAGCCAAACGAGAAATAAATGTCCTTTTTATAATTGCTACTTTCTAAATGTAACAACAGCCTTGTGACATCCTGCCTCTCTTATCCTCAGGGTTGTGTACCACGAGTTGGTGCTGACCACCAAGGAGTACATGCGGGAGGTGACCACCATCGACCCTCGCTGGCTGGTGGAGTTTTCACCCGCCTTCTTCAAAGTGTCCGACCCCACACGTCTCAGCAAGCAGAAGAAACAACAGCGCCTGGAGCCTCTGTACAACCGCTACGAGGAGCCCAACGCTTGGAGAATCTCTCGTGCCTTCAGACGCCGTTGATGTGTGTGACCTCACAAATGCCAAACAAAAATGTCAGATGTGTCGTCGTGTACCAGCGCTGGACATTGTAAAAGACTTGGAAGTTTGCACCATCACTACTCTACTTCAGGCTGTGTATTCACTCCTCCTTTATTGTTTGTGCTCATCGCACAGTTCCCCCAGCGTTAGATTGATCCGTATGTCGGGTTTAGGTGGGAATTTTAGTCTTATCGTTATTGTAAAACCCGGAGCCATTTACTTTTCATAGCACTAATACAGGAACAAAAAGAAAACTTCCACATCTGTCCTTTGTGACAGCAGTTTTAAAGATACTGGAAAACAGTGGACTATTTATTTTGACTGTAAATTGTAACAACACAATGTTTCCCCCAAGTAAGGGCCCGATAGAATTGTAATGGGACTTTTTAATGTTTGACTCGTGAATACGTTGGTGTCGGACCGTAAGGATGGAACAGCTTCTATGTTTGATAGATTTTTGTACTGTGACTGAGACAACTTTCACTCACTTGTATGTGTATCTGAGACTGTTGCTTTGCTATACTTGCCAGTGGAACTATGGAAATGCGTCCTCATTAAATGCTAAATTTTCTTAACTCTGTTGGATTTTGTTGTGATCTTTTGAGTAGATGGAAGAGTACAGTAGATAGAGATTTTATTGTTCTTAGAGGGAGAAGGCATTTGAATGGGAAACAAATTAAAAAACAACTCTGAGCACTCTTAAGATTGGAGGCAGTAGGCTTGAGTGGTAACATGTTAAATTGTGGCATTCTCTGTATATAGCATTAAAGGTTCATTACTGGCCACATGCATGTTATATTTTGTCTGCCTCCAATCTAAGGAAATACCTGCTCAAAACAATATAAAAATGTGCCTTTGATTGCCAGGCAGCTGCATTGTGCCACTTATTTCTACTTTAAATTTGAATCTGTTTAAATCTATACAAATTGGCACAAGTCCCTTACTTGAATAAATATATCAATAGTCTAAATTGTACTGTCTTGAAAGTCTTGAGTTCAAAATGTTAGATATGTAGGATATGAGAGTATTATCAGCTCAAATGCACACAAAGAATCAAAATGAAAAGTACTCACTATATTTGGATAGTTTATGCTGCTAGATTTTGTCTACCACTGAATTTACAACAACATATTGTATTTAATTAGGTTTTATCTGCACGTTAAACCCTTCATTTGCAAACTTTAGTTACTGTAACATATATACAGTTGAGTAAACAATACAATATCAGCCACTGAAATGTAGCGGAGTACAAGTCTGAAGTAGCATGCAGTGGAAATACTCGAGTAAACTGTACAGTTATTGAGTAAATGTACTCTATTGGGTTTATATGTGTTGAACTGTAAACGCTGTTATCTGGCCGGTGGCCGGTAGGGGGCAGCAGCAGCACTGAAACACATCGTTGGAGCTCAAACCAAAGAAGAAGGAGAACTTCCTGCTCAGGTCCAAACAAACAGGAGAAATGGCTGCGTTAGACGAAATTAAACGTCTTGAATATTTATCTCTGGTGTCTAAGGTGTGCACGGAGTTGGAGAATCATCTGGGAATAAGCGAGAAAGATCTGGGTAACGTTACGACACGACAGCATTGTTCTACAGAGCTAAATAACTCTTTATTTGTCATTAAGAAACAGGATAATGGTAACTTTGTCAGTGTTTAATTTAGCACGAATAGCTCAACGCCACTTTCTCTTTTTAACAGCTGAATTTATCATCAGTCTGGCCGAAAAACACCCAACATTTGAGGCATTCAAAGCAGTGCTGTGTGAAAATGGAGCAGATTTTACAGTAAGTGTGCAGCCTCATAAAAAGCTGAGTTTCTTTAGGTTTGTTGCATTTAGTTTCCTCACTAACCCCATATTTCTGTTTTTAGGATACCCTTATTGGTAATTTACTCAGACTTATTCAAACAATGCGACCCCTACCATCTACAAGTAAAGGTAAAAAAGTAATATATTTTATGTAAGACCTTATGTTTTCTAAAGGTCTACTGTTACATTATCTCCTCTGTGTTTCTGTATGACAGAGGTCAAACCAAAGAGTGAGAAGGACAAGCTGAAAGAGAAATACCCTGCTTTATGTAAACCAGATGCTCCTGTGTGGACGGTAAGGCTCCTCTGATATAAGATATAAAGCACAACTCCCACTGAAACATTACAGACCGAGGGTTGGATCCTAACAGAGACCGGGACAGCGCTCCAGTTCTGATATTGCCACACAGACGTCTTCTTTAGCGTGTATTCTAGCAATTTCACAACCATTATATCCAGATGGGATTAATAATAAGTTATAACAACCGGCACAACAAGTACGTCCCAACAGGGGGAGCTACAGCCTTTGGCACATGATGTAAAATACATGGAAAAACCACAAAACTCAACACAATGTATATACACTTGATAAGAAACAAGCTTATTAAATCTGATTATTTCCAGTGGGAATGAGTTTATGAGTAAGTGTATCCAGTATGTCTCCTTTTCAAGAAGGATTCTGTCCCTATTGCTGCCCCTCAATGGCATCGTCACAGGTCTCAGTGCCCGAATAATATAAATATGGATATATATAAATTCACTAAAGTTGTAATAAAGTGTACTGATGATTACAAATAGATCACAGTTTCACAGATCCTGGTTTTACCAACATTATACGCTTTACATGGGTTTTAACAGATAAACCACTGAGTGTTATTCTACCCCCGACCTTGATGTCAACACTTTGTCTGTGTGGCTAAAAGATAAATTGGAGTGCTGACCTAGTCTTCTGTTTTAGGGCTCATTTGATGACAATTTGCTGCTGCTGCTGTTATTACTTGTTTTTACTTAAACCTTCATATCTTCTAGTAAACCTCTAAAGTAAAATGCAGCTCTTTGTCAGTGGGAACATCTGCAATGACATGAATGATACATTTCAGAGGCAGTACGGAGTTGTCCCTAATTATTACATCTCCATCAGATTCCACCACGACATGCAGATAAAGATGACGAGCAGGTTGCTGCAGCAGCCATGAAGGAGCTGGAGATGCTTATGCCAAACTTCTGTGGAACGAGCTCTGATAACGGGTAATTAACAGAGTTTCTTTCCCCCAAAAGTGGATATCTGCCATCTGGAAAAGAAGTGGCTCTCACTCGCAGTATTGTATAACTGAATCACCTCTTTATAACCACTGCGCACTGACAACAGTTTGAATTTTCTCCTCAGGTCAGACAGAAATTTGCACAGCGACAGAGGTCGAGACGCAGACAGAGAAAGCGCACGTAAGCGAAGTCGTTCTCGCTCCAGATCGAAAGATCGTGACACAGAAGCAAACCCCAAGCGCAGAAGGAAACGGGTGTCCCGCTGGAGTGACCATCCACCGAGCCCTCACAGAGACGGTGACAACAACAACAGCAACAACAACAACAAGAAGGATGACGGAGACTCTGAACGCTGGCACGATAGACTTGTGGATCGGCCTCCACCAGACGAGCCTGTTGTGGGTGACATCTACAACGGCAAAATCAGCAGTATAATGCAGTTTGGCTGTTTTGTGCAGCTGGAGGGTCTCAGGTTAGTAAGCTGGGTGGGCCTGTATTGGCCTGCACACCAGTACAGTGAGAGATATGTATTTTAAAACATGTTCTGTTTGTTTTTGAGGATTTCAGTATTGCTTGTTTGTCATCTATACTTCTTAAAAGTTTTAGATTTCTCCCCTTCTTGTCTATCTGTATTGTTCTTTTGCATCCTAACCTGTAGTGTGTGACTGTAATCGTCTGCAGAAAACGCTGGGAGGGCCTCGTGCACATCTCAGAGTTACGGAAAGAGGGACGTATAGCCAATGTGGCTGACGTGGTCACCAAAGGCCAAAAAGTGAAGGTCAAAGTGCTGTCATTCACTGGAACCAAAGCCAGCCTTAGCATGAAGGTGAGTCATGTTTAAAATGGTGAAAGAGATGGGTTGGTTTATATCAAGGGAAATCCATTTACAATGTAAAGACAGTCGTATGTGTGCAGATAATGTTCGCCAGCAGCTGGAAAAGTAAAATATTTAAGGATAGAACTACTTACCCACCTTGTAAAATAATTGTACGTGTTTTCATGTTGCCAGGATGTCGACCAGGAGACCGGCGAGGACCTGAACCCCAACCGGAGACGAAACCTGGACACTGGAGTTGGAGAAGAAGCCATGAGGAACCCTGACCGCCCCATTGAAGCAAACATGTTGGAAATGGAGGAAAACCCAACAGAACGCAAGCGGCTCGCCAAGATCACTGACCTTGAAAAATGGGAGATTAAACAGGTATTCATCACACACATTCCCACAGAGGTGTAAAGTCTTTCAGTCCTCAGCGGCGATGTCTTCCAGGGAATGCTTTTTGAACCCTCTAGTTTTGTTTCTCCCCTTCAGATGATTGCAGCCAACGTGCTTCCTAAAGAAGAGTTCCCAGAATTTGACGAGGAGACGGGAATCCTTCCCAAAGTAGATGATGACGAAGGTGAAACATTCAGGGTAACGGTTAAAGGTTTTTGCAACATGAAACGTTTTTGCTGCATGATAATGTGTGTAACTATTCCGTCTACAGATGACGAAGTGGAGATTGATCTGGTCGAAGACGAACCTCCATTCCTGATGGGACAGACTAAATATACTACCAACATGAGTCCAGTCAAGATAGTAAAGGTATCTGTACAGACTCCACAAGGTCTTGCTTTTGATAAAATGTCATGGAACTGAGCTCACGTTTAGCAAGCTACAGCCAATTCGACCCACAGATGTTAACATGTTACCTTCTGCTACTGTTTCCACCGTTACACCAGCAGGACTAACTGGCTATCCAGACATTACATTTGGAGTTTTTTTTCTTTGTGTGTGTTTGAGGTTTTACGTTTAATGCCACCTAATTACATGTGTTAATTCATTTATCATTTGTAGCCGTCTCTAAACTTCTATTAAGTTGCCTTAGTATTAAACAGTAACTAAATGACAGGTTCACTGCCCTTTGTGGGCCACTGATAGCTGTGATTATTTGTGTGCTCTGTTGCAATTTTTACATTATTGCAGCAAGTTAAACCACTAGAGGTTAGCGAAAACATTTTCTGGGGTTGTTTAATTACTCTTTACTATACATACAGGCTATAAAAACAGCCTGTGCAGAGCAAACTGCACCACCCTATAGTGCAGATATGCAGCACCAAAGACAGAACTCACCCTCTTTTGTCCTCTGCCTCCCATCCTGAATCCCCCCCCCCATGGACAAATTAAAACCTGTCAGGCTTAAAGGGAAAGTTTTTGAGGAGAGAAAACACAACATGTCACAGCATTGTGAACTCTTTACTGTTCCTATCTGTATCTCATTCTTATAGGTTTAAAATGTGAAATATATAATCTAAAAAAAAAAAACACAAACTCAGCAGCTAAACGTGTGTAGAAAAACTGTCCACGTAAGACTCATTGCCTGGAGATGGCACAAGTATCAGAATTGCAGCAGCTGTTACTTTCCGTACTCTTAGATGGCAACACATACCAGTCTGCGGTTATAATGTGCTGCTGTTGTTACTGTAGGTTTGACTGAGCCTCGTGCCGTGAAATGGCTGGCACTGGGT